TGAAAAAAAAAATGTTTTCTCCATTTTGATATATTGGGGAAATTCTGAACTTTTTTTCAAAGCAGGGAAACTGCTTTAACTACATAAAGACGAAATATCGAAGCTCGTATGCGCCGCGTCGCCGTCCAACGCGTAAACATTGGTACGGAACCCATAGGAATGTAAACAAAATTTATACTTACTGTTAAAATCTCTAAAAAAAATATATGATAATTTGATGTGCATATGTCTAATGATCATTTTTGACCGCCAGATGGCACTTTTTTTTACTTTTTTTACTCGATCTCCAAAACCGCTAGATCTGCCTTTTTGAAAATTTGATCAGTTCAATTCATCTTGTAAATGCAAGTAAAATGTTTTTTGAATTATTAAATTCGGTCGCTCCGTTCTCTTAAAAACTGAGTTACCGTTTTTAGCACTTTTTTCCCCATATCTTCAGAACGACTAGACTTGCCTTTGCCAAAAACTAATCAGCACGTCTCCTTGTTCATACGAATCGAATGTTTTTTGAATTATTCAAATCGCTTCATCCGTGTTCCCGAAATCGTCGACAAAAATTTGTATCCGCACACACACACACATACATCCATTGTTTCTAAGGTATGCCAAAATGTTCAAAAACCTCTGAAACGTGAAGATATATAAAAAATTTCATTTTCGATTTTCTTGCGATTACTATAACTTACCCTACGGGAAGTTAATTAATGATTAACAAATTTAAAACTTACGGAAAGACAATTGTAAACCGAACTTACAAGAAAAAATTTAAACGCCAAATATAAATAAACTAAAAAAAAATGTTTATAAAAAATGTATACAAATGTCAACAAAAATCAAATATAAGTATTTGAATGTATATAGTTTAAATGTACATTTTCTTATTATTTATGTATGCATTACATACTGTTAACTTCACTACAAGTCGAATTAGATCATTAATTCAGAAATAAACATAAATAGTGGTGTATGGCATCGTGAAAAAATTCTTGAAAAAAAATTTTAACTTCCCTTTAGGGTAAGTTATAGTAATAGTAAAAAAAATCATAAACGAAAATTTGTATATATCTTTACGTTTCAAAGGTTTCTGAATATTTTGGCATACCTTAGAAAAAATGGATGTATGTGCGGATATAATTTTTTTTGATAACTTTGAAAATTTTAGAACTCATTTAAATCGGTTGATCCATAGTGTCGAAAATAAAGAAAAAAATTCTTTAAACTATACATATGAGTGAACTCAAATTCCTGTGTATAAGTTTCGGAGTGTCAGTTAACGGACTTCCGTTTAACGATGACCAGATGTTGTTGTATCAGATTATATAAAACCAGTTCAAGACATTTTTAAGTTGCCGTTAAAATGAACAGAACTTCATCAGATCTCTCAAAAATTGACCGAAATCTTACAATATACGAATATACCTTTCTATTAATATTAAATTAATTATTAAAAACCTTAAGAAACTAGGTTCAAGAGACATTTTTTCTTAAGAAAAGTTGCAAAACGCTTATTCATATTTAGCGTGGAAAGTTTGAGACTGGAAATGCTAAGAAAACAAAATGCAAGAGCAAGTCGGATTTTCTGGCTTGATGAACTTTTCTTTGGGGCTGTTGAAAATATCAAGCCACTTTTATTTTTAATCAATACTAAAACATTTAATGTTAAACAATATACAGTAGAACCTCGATTATTCGAAACTCAGTTATACGGATTCGCGATTATCCGGACTACCGGATAATCGATATGTATGTACATACATACAATTCGAATTTTTGCTCGATTTATGCTGCAGTTTAGTAAAAAAATATATATGTACATACATAAGGAATTGTTAATTTCTTATTAAACATTGATTTTCGTTGATATCTATGTATGTATTTAGTATTTATGATAAATACACATCATTATTCTTCATACATTGGATTATCCGGATTTTCAATTATCCGGATGCCTATCGACAACAATTAGTCCAGTTAATCGATGTTCTTCTGTAATTGAATTATTTAACTTTATGACAATATGTCAAATTTCAACAGTCTCTATTAATTTCTTGAAAATTTCTGAAAGTCCAAGTACTACTATAATGTATCGATAAAAAATGCGGTTTCGTCCGCTGTTATTTTCAATCATTTCCGTCGCGGTCAAAATCAAACAAACATCGAACATGAATCGATTCATCATCATTCCGATCCCTATCCATTTCCTTTGGTGGTATTTAATTTTTAAATCCTGTATCTGTATCTGTGTATCTAAATTCCCCGACAACGACTGCTCGAATCAGGCAACGTCGCCCGAGCGACAAACGGCCGCCGATTGTTTTGTTTCCCCGAAGAGAGCGCCAGACCGTGTCTGCGAATGCGCAAGCGTGGGCAAACAGACGGTAGGACGACGGTCAAAGCTAATACTGGGAAAACAGAGTAAAGAGTAATGGGCCGATTTAAAATTAGTGAAGGATTTGTTCCTAGTAGACAAAATGTGAAAACTTATTAGATTAGATGACATTGTTTGTATATGTTTGAATGAAATATATATAAACAAAATCTAATTAAGCGGACTTATTGTTAGAATGAACATATCTTATATCAAATGCATCAATTTTTCGTTCGCGAAATGTATGCAGTGAGTTAACAATTTTATGGTTCATGTAGTATCAACTATACAAACATAAACAATATTTAAAAAAACGATTCGAACCCAATCAGTTTTGACTTTCTTATCTACTAAAGCAAATTGCGGTGACGCGCCAACCAATTGTTATGCCATCTCTCGGATTCATCCCTTATTATAAAACAACATGTGGTAACACTAAAGGATTCGTAACACTGTGGTACCCCTTTGGCAACACTGTTTCCGCCACAGAGGAGCAAGGGCAGTTCATGGGCAGTCTCAATTCAACCATTATAGAAAACACTTGCATTTTATTGTAAATTCCGTCTGATTGTTCATAAATATATTCTATGTAATGTGTAAGTCTTTTATTTATTGTAACTACTAACGACATGCTCACGCATAACTCTATGAGCGGATGTCTAGGATCTAATGGGAATTTCTGCACTTTTTGATCAGTATCTTCGAAATGGTTGGACCTGCTTATACCAAAAACTAATCAGCATGTCTCCTTATCAATACGAATCGAATGTTTTTTCGAATTATTCGAATCGGTTGATCGGTGTTCCCGAAATCGCCGACGAAAATTTGTATCCGCGCACACACACAAATTCATAAACACAAACCTTTCCATGATAAAGCTTAAAGTTCCTTGAAATAATCCATTAAACTGGTATTAAAAATTATAAAATTTATTCAAGATGTACATTTCGGTGAAAATCATTTATTGGAAAGAGACAAATGTACTAGTTACTAGTTGTAAGTGGCATCTTGCCTTTTGTGTAAATAATCAAGTCAATAATATTTCAATATATTAATTAACTTCCCGTAGGGCAAGTTATAGTAATCGCAAAAAATCGAAAATGAAATTTTTTGCATATTTTCACGTTTCAAAGGTTTCTGAACATTTTGGCATACCTTGGAAAAAATGGATGTATGTGTGTGTATGTGTGCGGATACAAATTTTCGTCGACGATTTCGGGAACATTGATCAACCGATTTGAATAATTCAAAAAACATTCGATACGTATTGATAAGGAGACGTGCTGATTAGTTTTTGGCGAAGGCAGGTCTAGCCGTTCCGAAGATACGGGGCAAAAAGTGCCAAAAACGGTAACTCAGTTTTTTAAAGAACTGAGCATGCGATTTGAATAATTCAAAAAAACATTTTAAGATGAAGAACTGATTAAATTTTTGGGAAGGCAGGTCCAGCGGTTATGGACTTTCAATAAAAATAAGTTTAAAAAAATGTCATTTGGCGGTCAAAAATGTTTATTAGACATATGCACATCAAATTATCAGATATATTTATGGAGATCTTAATAATGTGTACACATTTTGTGTAGTTTTTTTAGTTCGAATTGTCTGAAAATAGCATAGATTGCCTTAAAATATTCTAAATCGCCTCAAAATAGCCTAGATCACCTTAAAATAGTGTAAATCACCTTAAAATAGTCTGTGAAAATGTTCGAGATGGTCTGGAATCTGGAAATGCTCTGAATATACTGAAAATAGTCTAAATCATCTTAAAATATTCTAGATAGTCTAAAAAAAGTTCTGAATAATTTAGAAATGTTATGGTTATCTGAAAATGTTCTAGATAGTGTAAAAATGTTAAACATACCCTCACAATGTTTTAGATCGTCTGAAAATGTTGCAAATTATATGAAAACGTAAATTGGATGGCAATTGTAAACCTAACTGAAACAAAATCTAACATTGGCATAGTTTTTGCAAAAACTAGAGAAAAAAGTAAAGTAGGTCGAAAATCTTAACAATTGATAATTGTTTATAAAGTTAACAAGTCTAAAACAATACGACTAAAAAGCATTTATTTTTAATATATTATTAAACTATAAAAAGCTTAGTAATTTTAACTTTAAATTAAAATGCAATTCGTCCGTTAATCAAGATAATTAATTACGGTATATTAAAAAAATATTACTAATGAGCAAAAATATTTATGTTATGAGTTTAGTTTAGAATACATGTGCATTTACTTTTTGTCCTAATTTAATTATACAGATATCCATTTCTTCTCTAGTGACCCATAAATTTTCCAAAATTTAATACAAGGCTCTTTGCATTACATTATTATTTGCTATTCTGATAGACAGGTGTATATTTTAAAAATTAGCACAAATCGACAATGTTTAATTTATTTATTCGCGAAACAAGGACAGATTTGTTATTCCTGAATAAATATTATATAGTCGGATCGTGGAGGAAAGTTACATAATAATTATATATATATATATATATATATATATATAAAATATTTATAATATGTATTTTTCTCCGAAGTCGTTTCTTATATTTTATCTTAAATTTTACTCATTTTCCTTCAATTCGCGTCTATATCTTTTATCTAAATATGATTTTTCCCCGCGTATAGAGTTGCTGACCCTCCGCTCGACCAGCAATGGCACCAGCAACACCAACAATTCTCAACAGCAACAACAGCAACAACAACAACAACAGCAACAGCAACAACAAAATTGGCGAAGTTGCACACCGTACGATATTCAATATAAGACGAATGAGAAAGTCAAGTCCACTAGCCCTGACACTAATGCAGGGATACGAACCGCGGACGTCTTGATTAAAGGTTTGAGAAAAAAAAAATAGAAAAAATTAAAAAAATTAAAATAAATTAAAATTAATTGTTAAAGTATTCAATTGTTATTATTAGAATTGTTTGAAACGTTTTGGAGTTTTAGATTCTTATGAAATTAGTACGGATTTTTTGTAATGATATTTGATATAAATTTTGAAGTATACCGAGTTGCTGTAGAGTATTTTGTTGTTAGTAAAAGTTGTTGCTTATTCAATTTGGAACAAATTTGCTTCTTACCTCATTTACATTAACTGAATATTTTACGATTTACACACGATGCAAGATAAAAATGTAGTACCAGCGTGCACTGATAAAATTTCTTACTTCAATCGCGATTTTAAACATACGGAGGTGCTATAGGGCATTATGATGTTAGACAATACTGTAGATCATGTAATTTTGCACAAATTCGCCAAATATTTCATGAATTTTCCGTCAACCGTTCAAAAGTTACAACCGATCTACAAAACAATGCTCCATCTTGTATTCCAGTTTATCCATCAGCCACATCTCTCGAAAGCACGAGAGTAGTAGCTATTTTTAAATGTGATTTTAAAATATATAAAGTTGCTGTAGGTCATTATGATACTAGACAATGTTATAGATTATGTAATTTTACACAAATTTGCCAAATATCCTATTAATTTTCCATTACCCGTTCAAAAGTTACAAACAATTCAACAAATCTTTATCTCTCCCAGAACCATGAGCCAAATATCTCGAGAGTACGAGAGTAGTACCTATTTTTAATTGTGATTTTGAAGTATACTGAGTTGCTGTAGGTCATTATAATATTAGAAAATTCTGTAGATCATGCAATTTTGCACAAATTTGTCAAATGTCATATTAACTTTCTATCAACCGTTCAAAAGTTACAACCGATCTAACAATGCTCCAACATCTCATCCATCAGCCTCTCGAGAGTACGAGAGTAGTACCTATTTTTAAATATGATTTTAAAATATACCGAGTTGCTGTAGGTCATTATGATGTTAGACAAAATCGTAGATTATTTAATTTTGTACAAATTTGCCGAATATTCATTCTTCCCATCAACCGTTCAAAAGTTACAGCCGATCTAACAATGCTCCATCAGCCACATCTCTCTCGAGTACAAGAGTAGTACCTATTTTTAATTGTGATTTTATAGTATACCGAGTTGCTGTAGGGCATTATGATATTAGACACTATTGTAGATTATTTAATTTGGCACAAATTTGCCAAATATTTTATGAATTTTGCATAAACCGTTCAAAAGTTACAGCCTACATAACAATGCTCTCTCAGCCACATCTCTCTCGAGTACAAGAGTAGTACCTATTTTTAATTGCGATTTTATGGTATAGTGAGTTGCTGTAGGTAATTATGATGTTGAACGATATTATAGATCATTCAATTTTGCACAAATTTGTCAAATATCCTATTAGTTTTTCATCAACCGTTCAAAAGTTAGAACCAATTCAACAATGCTCTATATCTTCCAATTTAATCATCAGCCATACTTTCTTCTATACTTGTACAAGAGCAGTACCTATTTGTAATACCTAGGACTTTTTAATGTTAGACAATACTGTAGATCATTTAATTTAGCACACATTTGCCAAATATCATATCAACTTTCCATCAACCGTTCAAAAGTTACACCCTATCTAACAATCCTCTGTCCCTTCCAATTTAACCATCAGCCATACTCTCCTATATTTGTACAAGAGCAGTTACCTATTTGTAATACCTAGGGCTTTCTAATGTTGGACAATACTGCAGATCATGAAATTTTGCACAAATTTGCCGAATATCCTATTAACTTTCCATCAACCCATCTAACAATCTTTTACCTCTTCCAGGATATCCATCAGCAATACCTCTAGTACCAGTATCAGTTTCTGCGAGCGCAGTTGCAGTTGGTGTTGATCAATCAGGAGTCCAAAATCCTCAACAGCAGCAACAGATGCTGTCCCAGCAGCCTCAACAAAGCCCAATGGCGGCTTTGATGTCTGTGGCTGACGCTTTGCCTCCAGGAAGTCCCAGAAGTTCTACAAGCAGTGGCGGACCTAGTCCTCCGGGGCCTCCTCAGGGCGTTCCGCCGCCCGTGAGATCCGCCAGTAGGGGATCGCAACATTCACCCAACTCTTCAGGTAGGGGAAAAGATAGACGAATCATTTGCTTCGTCAAATTTATTAAACAGGACTCTATCTGATGGTTCAGTAACTATTTTAGACGAGCTAAATATTAAACTTGGAATGCCACAAGGTTCAATTTTTGGGCCTATTATTATTTTTTATATATATAAACGATCAGATCTAATTTGTACAGATCTTAATTCTTTACTAATCTTGTATCCTTTATCTAGGTTCTTCGAGTGGTCGCCGCTCCTCCGGCTCCCGCCACGTGTCCTCCACAACAGTGACCTCCAGCGAAGGAGTGGCCTCCACGGGCACCGCCAATGCAGCACCTCCAGGAAGTCAACAACAGCAACAACCCCAGGACTCCTCCGCCGGATCCATGGAGCAGCGCGGCGGCGGCACCCCTTTGGGCGCCCAACCTGGTACGGGCGTTCCTCCGCAGGGCGCCGGAGCACCCCCGCCGCCCGGCTCGGGAAATCCGACATTGAAGTGCACGATTTGCCAAGAGCGATTGGAGGACACGCATTTTGTGCAGTGCCCTTCGATCGGACATCACAAATTCTGCTTCCCTTGCTCCAGGGATAGTATTAAGAGACAGGGCTCGGGATCAGAGGTAAGGAGGAGAAATGACACGCAATCTTTAGAATCAATTTTTCAAGAAAATCAACCGCGAGAAATAGTTCTTGTATATTAATTATCCCTTTTCCCAGGTCTATTGTCCAAGTGGAGAAAAGTGCCCCCTTGCCAACAGCACTGTGCCGTGGGCCTTCATGCAGGGCGAAATCGCAACCATCCTCGGGGACGAAGTCAAAATAAAAAAGGAGCGCGAAACATAAACCTGTCAGGATATTCGGGAACTGCAGAGTTCCTGCTCGATATCCTCCTTTTATCAATAACTGATGATGATGTGCCGAAACGTCGGCGAACTCGAAAGCCGTCGTGGCACAAAAAAGTATCACAAAAAGCACGTCGTAGGACGTGACAAGATAAACAAAACAACAGGGCAAGAGGCTCTTGTTTAATAATAAAAAACGACTCATGGTCAAGGTTATAACCGACAAAACAAGCTCACATACAATGAGTCTACTTAAAACTGCGATTTGTACATACAGTCATATTTAATTTTTTTTTTTAGTTTAGACTAAGTTTTATCCGCGGGGGGCGTGAATAAAGTATTATTATATTTCTTTGTGTTTTTAGTATTTTCTAGTCTTTGCAAATTATTTGGAAAGGTAATAATATATGAAATATAATAAGGGCTGTGATTGATGAATAACTTTTTGGATCGACCAAGGTCTATTGATGACCATGTGTTCCAACAATTCTTCTCTTGAATGTTTTAAGTGTTAGTAGAGGGTAGGATATAAGTGTTGTGATTCAGATTTTAAAATTTTCGGTTCGATTTTGATGAAATCTTTAGGTGGATAATAAAAATTAAGCATTAAGGGATGTTTGGGTATTGTAAAAGATAATGGAATTTCTGTCCTCCTATCTTTCCATACTCGGACATGTCTTAATTCATAAAAGTAAATATAAAAACCAAAGAAATACAATAATCAAAAAGAAACCCTTACCTGCAAAAGTGTTTTCCCAATTTTTATTTCAATTAAATCCTTTTGATGTCATAAATGCTGCTGCTGTCGTAGTATTGCAAAAAATCAAGATGTAGATCATCGCAAATATTAAATGTCATTAGAACCTGCAATAGAAATTAATATAAATAATATTAGTGAAATGGAGTATGCAAATTTTGAAGGATTTTAAAAAATATTATTTCGATAATGGATTGTTTGTGCAAAATGATTTGTAATAGTAAAGATTTTTATTAGTTTTCAATCCTGATTTGAATCAGTTTTGAGAGTCTGTAGGGACTCATCTCACTTCTGGTGCGTTAAACAGAGAGCTGAGAGCCAAATCGGGCGTAAAATATTAAAACTTATGATAACCAATATATTTTTTAGATTCAGAATATGTTTTTATTCTTTGAATTATTTTGGAAATGCTATTACGCGATTCATCCCACTTCTGATTCGTTAGACAGAGAGCTTTTTGGTAACAAATGTATTTTTTATATCACAGAATATGTTTCATATTTGTTTTTATTTTTTGTATTACTTTAAAAATACCATTTCGCGAAATTATTCTTTGAATTTTAAGCAAAAGAGTGAAATGAAGATGTATTTATTTTAAAAATATTATTTGTAATATTTTTTTAAAAAATGATTTGTTTTAATTTTTAGCAGATGAGTGAGGATGTTCATTTTTACAAAATTTATTTGATATTTTTTAAAATAATGATTTTTTTTTCAATTTTAAACAGAAGGGGCTTATTTTTTTACAAAATTTGTTCGTAATACTTTTTTAAAAAATGAATTTCAATTTTAAACAGAAGAGGGTTCATTTTTTGACAAAATTTATTTATATATTGTTTGAAAAAGGATTTTTTTTTTAATTTAATTAGAAGAGTGAGGACGTACTTATTTTACAAAATTTATTTATAATATTTTTTAAAAGACGATTTCTTTCAATTTTAAGCACAAGAGTGAGAGCGTATTTCTTTACAAAATTTATTTATTAGAATTTTTTTAAATATTTTCTTTTAATTTCAACCAAAAGAGTGAGGACATACTTATTATAAAAAGTTTATATTTTTTTAAGAAAGGAAATCATTTAATTTTAGGCATAAGAATATTTTTTTAAAAAGAATTCTTTCAATTTTAAGTAGAAGAGTGAGGACGTATTTTTTAAAAAAAAATATCTTTTTCATACCGATTGGAACTTTTTATTAATTTATTTAAAGAAAATTGCATTTTCTTAACTTAGAATATATTTTTATCAGAAAATATTTCTAGACAGTACGTCGAAATGATTTTTTTCCATTTTGAGTGCTAAGTGACGAAAATATGAATTCATTTAGTTTTATAATAATTAAACTAGTGGTGTATGGCATCGTGCCTTAAGGCAAATTGCTGGAACTTCCCGTACCGTAACGAAATGTTCGAGGAATATTGAATGTTTTCAAATAGATTATTATAAATATTGTAACATTGTCTAATATTTATAAGAATATTAAAAAAATATTTATTCAAAAAATATAAGTGAGCTTTCAAATTTTAGCCAGAATTAAAATTGAAATCTGAATTATTTTCGATATACAAAAAAAAAAAATAGAAACAAATTTTTTTTCCAAAAGCAATTATTTTGTTGAAACAAGCAGAAAGTTCTTTGAATCATTCAAATCGGACGCTTAGTTCTCTTAAAAACTGCCATTTTTTGCATATTTAGCTCTGTATCTCCGAAACCGCTGGACCTGCCTTTGCCAAAAACTAATCACCTCTTCTCCCAGTCATTACAAATTGAATACTTTTTAGATCATTCAAATCCGATACTACGTTCTCTCAAAAACTCGATTTGTATTTCCTGCACTCTTTGCTCCGTATCTCCGTAACGGCTGTGTCTGCCTTTGCCAAAAACTAATCAGCACATCTCCCTATCAATAGGAATCGAATGTTTTTTGAACCATTCAAATCGGTTGATCCGTGCGCCCTAAAACGTGGACGAAAAAACGCGAACACACACATCAATTTTTTCTGAGGTGTGCCAAAACGTTCAGAAACCTTCAAAACGTCGAGAAATGCAAAAATTTTCATTTTCGATTTTCGGCCCATTACTATAACTACCCTACGGGAAGTTAATAAATAAAATTATAGTAACAGCTTTTAAGAAAACATTTAAAATACTTTAAAAAACACACTTATTGTCAAAATTAAAAGTATTAATAATTATGAACGGATTTGCTACCAGCTCTCTGTCTAATAATCAGAAGTGGGATAAAAAGTGGAATCCTTCCTTAAATAATGCAAGTCTTAATCAAATAACCTCGAATAAAAATCTTTTACTAACCATTACAAAACATTTTGCCTAAACAATCCCCAAAAATTCACAAACACAATTTCTATCCTATTTTGTTGTATATATTTGTAAATATAATTGCGCTAAGATTCATGATCTAAAAATATATGCATATTATTTAATATATAAATAAATATATATATTGTTTCATTTATTATACACGTTTTTTTATGTTATAGTTCTCTCGACGATACTTATAAAATGTAGCATATATAAGATAGATTATTATTATTATTATAAGAGAACAAGCCATATTTTTAATTGTTATATAAACCAATCTGTAAAATATTTTTTCAGTGTCTCAGTATTAAATTGGTAAATGAGAATAATGGTAGTAAAACCATAATTTTTTTTTAGATTTAAATTGGTTTATATATATAATTTTGAAGTATTTTGTATGTTGTACTTTAATTTTTGTTTCATATGCAATCGGAATAAATAATTTGGAACAAATAAATTATATGGCACTGGAATTGTTAATAATATTTGTAGAAGTACATTTTTTGGTGCTTTAAATTTGATCTCATTTAATTTATTGTTTGTAAATGCATCAATATTATATATATATATATATATATATATATATATATATATATATATGTATATATATACATATACATATACATATATATATATATATATACATATATAATAATTCAATTATTAAGTATATATTATTTATTACGAGGACCAAGAAAGAAGTATTGTTGAACGTATTCAAACTACAGTACATTTTTTTATAATCAATTACAATCGATTATAATAAATAGTTTGAATAAATATATAAGTTACGATATGTATATTGTAATAAGAATAAGGTATCACATACAATATGCTTTACTGTGTATAGATTTAAAAACAAGTAGTAGTAATGTGACGAAACGAATGTTTGACAAATAAATCAATATAAAAATATACAAAGACTTTTAATTGATAATGATAAAGCATTATTTTTGAACAAATTTCTAAGTATACAGATTTATGAAATTAGACAATTTTATAGATTATTTAATTACATCATTCATATTAATCGACTGGTTTAAAAGTTATAAGCAAAAAAATAAAAATATGCACTTTTAAACAAAAGTGCTATACTGAATTCCAAACCAAGATGTCACTAATTACACTATGAAAAAAATCTTGAAGAAGGCGTCGTTTGTATGGAAACTACTATACCTTATACTCAGATTATTTGTTTCATTTCAATTGCAATTTTAAAGTATACCGAGTTGTTGTAGGGCATCATAGTGTTACAAGACATTATAGATAATTTAATTTTGTACAAATTTGTCTAATGTTTTATTCATATTAAACAAATAGTTTAAAAGTTACAAGAAATATGAATAAATGCATATATGAGTTTTGGACAAATTTTTAATTACAATTTTAAAGTATACCAAGTTGCTGTAGGGCATCATAGTGTTAGAAAACATTATTAATAATTTAATTTTGAACAAATTTGTCTAATATTTTATTCATATTAAACAAATAGTTTAAAAGTTACAAGAGATATAACAAATAAAATGCACATATGAGTTTTGAATAAATGCACTTGTATTTTCTTTACAATTTTAAAGTATAGCAAGTTGCTGTAGGGCATCATAGTGTTAGAAAACATTATAGATAATTTAATTTTGAACATATTTGTCTAATATTTTATTCATATTAAACAAACGGTTTAAAAGTTACAAGAGATAATGAATAAATGCACATATGAGTTTTGGACAAATGCACTTGTATTTTCAATTACAATTTTAAAGTAATTATAATATTTTCTTAAATTTTTTTTTTTTCTATTTTAACCAGAAGAGGTTAATTTTTTTTACAAAATGTATTTGTTTTTTTATTTATTTTATTTGTAATATTTTTTTTAAAAAATAATTCTTTCAATTTTAAACAAAAGAGTGTGGAAGTACTTATTTTAGAAAATATATTTATAATATTTAATTAAAAAAAAATGAATTCTTTCAATTTTAAGCATAAAAGTGAGGACGTATTTTTATCACAAAATTTATTTGTAGAATAAAATAAAATATGATTTTTCTTTTCAAATGCATTTGTATTTTAAATTACAATTTTAAAGTATACCAGGTTGCTGTAGGGCATCATAGTGTTAGAAAATATTATAGATAATTTATTGTATTATTTTTTAACAAACAAATTATTTATTGTTCAAATTTGTCTAATATTTTATTTATTTTAAACAAATGGTTTAAAAGTTACAAGAGATATAATGAATAAATGCAAAAATTAATCAGGATATAAATGATGAAGGAAGTTTTCTAACTGCTGATAACTTTCAAATATTTAGTTTAATATAAATTATGTCTTCGACAAATTTGTATAAAATTAGATGATCTAGAATATTGTCTAACACAATAATGGTCTACAGTAACTCAGTGTACTTTAAAATCATAATTGAAAATAATATAGCTCAAATTTTGTGAAGTATACATTCATTTATAATATATTTCATAACTGCAAACCTTGGGTTTAATATGAATAGAATATTCTGCAAATTTGTACAAAATTAAATAATCTACAATATTGTTTAATACTTTAAAACTGCAATTAAAAATACAAGTGCATCTATTCAAAACTCATGTTCATGTATATTTATTTAATAAATCTCTTGTAACTTTTAAACTAAGTACTTGAAATAAATGAAATATTTGGCAAGAATGTGTAAAATTAAATTATCTATGATCTTTATTAACATCATAATGATCTACAGCAACTCTGTATACCTAAAAACTGTACTAGAATGCAGAAAATAAATATTAACTCTAGGCAACTGAATGGACAACTCAAGCATTTGTGCATTATTAAATCTCTTGTAACTTTTAATCTAATTATTTTATATAAATGAAATATTCAACAGATTTGTGTAAAATTAAATAATCTATGGTATTGTCTAACATCATAATGACCTACAGCAACTCGGTGTACTTTAAAATTGTAATTGGATATGCAGAATTTAACTGGGTGCTCTTTTATTTGTTGTTATAGTGGATCCATACTTTCTTCCAGAGTGATGTGTACTTCAATTAGATTATTGTTCATATTTGTTGTTCTGATTAAAAAAATTATCAATTTTGGTATTGATCGTTATAGTAGATTTATACATGTATATCGTATCTAATTTTAAGCTCTATCAAGCAAATGGTTCATCCTGAAGATCCTTCTGAAAAGTATCTTTGCTCACGTGCATACTTTCTTCCAGAGTGATGAGTACATTGATAAATAAAATATTTATATCTGTTGTTCCAATAGAAAATTTATCAACTTTAGTATTTGTCATTATAGTGGATCTATTTAAGTATGCCATATCCAAATTTGAGATTTCTAGCACAAACCTTCCGTCCTGAGGAGCTCTTTGACCTTGCATTTACATGCATGCTTCTTTAAAGGGGTACTTTTGTCAGAAAATCATTTTTAATTAAATTTGTTATCCAAAATGCGTCACTTTTAGTATTAGTTGTTATTATAGATTTTAACTGGGTGCTCTCTTATCTGTGCAGTTATTTATTATATCTCTTGTAACTTTAAAACCATTCGTACAATATAAATGAAATATTCAACAAATTTGTGTAAAATTAAATAATCTACAATATTGTCTAACATTATACTGACCTACATCAACTTGGTTTACTTAAAAATCTTAATTCAACTTATAATTGCATGCTCCAAACATTAGATCCATGGTGTTTCAACATTCTGTGCATCTATATATTATATGCCCTGTAACTTTAAAACCATTTGTTTAATATAAACAAAATATTCGACAAATTTGTGTAAAATTAAATAATCTATAATATTGTCTAACATTATAATGACCTACAGCAACTTGGTATACTTTAAAATTGTAACTGAAAATGCAGAATTTAATTGGGTGCTCTGAAACTTTATCTGTGCATTAATTTATTATATCTCTTGTAACTTCAAAACCATTTGTTTAATACAAATGAAATATTTGCCAAATTTGTGTAAAATTCAATAATCTACAATATTGTCTAACATTATAATGACCTACAGCAACTCGGTATACTCTAAAATTATAATTCAACTTATAATAGTATGCTCCAACATCAGATCCATGGTGTTTCAACTTTCTGTGCACTTATATATTATATGTCCTGTAACTTTAAAACCATTCGATTAATTTAAATGAAATATTCGGCAAATTTGTGTAAAATTAAATAATCTATGATATTGTCTAACATCATACTGTCCTATAGCATCTCAGTATACTTTAAAATTGTAATTGAAAACACAAGTGCATATATTCAAAACTCATATGTGTATTTATTTATTATATCTCTTGTAACTTTAAAACCATTTGTTTAATACAAATGAAATATTTGGCAAATTTGTGTAAAATTCAATAATCTACAATATTGTCTAACATTATAATGACTTACAGCAACTCGGTATACTTTAAAACTGCAATTGAAATCGTGACAGGTGTACAACAATGCTCCCGCCATTTTTGTAAAGAACTCGTATAGTAAAAACGGCGGGAGCAAAGTAGTACACGTAAAAAAATATAAAAGTCGTTTAATGTTTAATAAAACACGTAATTATTTTAATGCAAAATTTAAAGCTCGTCGATAAATTTCATATTATTAAGACATCAAAGTGAGACAACAAAAAATTAAGACATTTCAAATTATAATTTATTAAAATATTTTACAGAAATTCTGTTCGTATTGCTTGGTTTGTCATTTCCATAGTAACGAAATGGCGGTTGACATGTATGTTGCAAGGGAATTATTTTAATTTATTATTTAATAATATATAATATGTTTAAACTTAATTAAGCATTATTTAGTTCTTGCAATATGTACCAAATACTTAGCAACATGTGTTAATAATAGCAGTGTAAAATTGTGTGGGTTTCAAAGGATTTTCTTGAGGTAGGTTACAATTAACCTAAATTTATATTACAAAACTTACCGGTGGTTTTTGCATTTTATTTGTCCTTAATCCTTGTTAGAACACTTTGTATTTATTGTTAATTACTTTATATTCACTATTATCCTTTACACGATGTGCTTTTTCTTAAACTTTTTTTTAAAAATTGTATTTGATATATTTTTTCTTGAAGGGTTGAAAGTAATGGCAGCCATCTTTATAAGCTGTCAGACACCGTGAAGGTAACGTCAGTTTAGTGCAAGGCGGGAATTTTAAATTTCAAATTGCAAATTGTTAAAAACAATGATATGTTGTTAAAAATTTGTTTAGGATTATTATTATTAAAGTATAAACAATATTATATATATATATATATATATGTTTAAGTCCATATATTTATATTTTATACTTATAATTTGTTTATAAGCTTTAATCAAAACGCGCCAAATTCAAATTTCAATTGTGCGTTATAATTTATTGCTAAATAATGAACTGTCGGATTCAAAGTCGTTTTATTCAAAACTTTTATATCGGAGTATATAAAAGTGTTTCTTAGGAAATGTTGTAAATTTTATCTAGTTTCACCCTATCTAACTGAAAAGGGGTGGATCCATATGAAATTTTTGAGTTATTTGACAAAAACCAAAAAAATGTCCCGAATTTACTATTTATTGCTACTAAAGAATGAAATATCGAATCCAAGGTCGTTTTATTCAAAATTTTTATATCGGAGTGCATAAAAGTGTTTTAATGAAAATGTTGTGAATTTTATCTAGTTTTACCCTGTCTAAAAGGGGTGGTTCCATATGAAATTTTTGAGTTATTTGACATAAACCAAAAGATGTCCCGAATTTTCTATTTATTGCTACTAAAGAATGAAATATCGAATTCAAAGTCGTTTTATTTAAAACTTTTATATCAGAGTGCATAAAAGTGTTCCCTAGGAAATGTTGTAAATTTTATCTAGTTTCACCCTATTTAACTCAAAAAACTTGCTTTTATATAAAATTTGAGAGTACCTCTACCTGTACCTGGTCCTTTACCTTTACCTTACAATTAAGCAAATATAAAGTAGCCAAAATTTCTTATAAAATGATATAAATAAAATCTGCATATTACATAATAATTAATTCAGATAAATAAAATTGTTTGCATGTTTATTATATAATATTTTTTATTCCATTTTTCAGATTTTTTGTTAAACCAAATTCAAAATGACTTTGCTCGCTTTACAAACTGAAGAGACAGCTTTTGATAAATATTTAAAGGTAAGAATAATTTGTATGCATGTCTGTATTATATTTTTCATAACTCTTAAACTATTTGATTAATATAAATGATGTATTTGGAAAATTTGTTTAAAATTAAATAATCTACAATTTTTTCTAACAACATAATACTCTACAGCAACTCGGTATACTTCAAAATCGACTTTGTATACTAAATTACTATCTTTACCGCTGCCCTTTTAACAAATTTCATCATTATAATAAAATTTAGTAAAAATCAAAAATTCATCAAAATTTCCACGCGGTTCATTTTTTTTCCTCCAAAAAATACCGCTTTTCGAACTGTCACCAAAATTCGGGTCATTTATGTCAGGAAAATTGTAAAAAAAAACAGACCTCCATGGGTGCACCCAAGCCGTTTGGATAAATTACAAAAAAGTGGGCGAATTTGCTAAAATTTTTATTAAAAATTCGCAAAAGTTCTAAAAATGTTCAATAATAATGATCGTGATCCATTGAAATGGTTTGATGCATTTCCTAAGGAGAAGAAAAGACAGGGACGGAGTTTTTGGAGGAAAAAGGAGTTCTCGGAGTACTGACGAAGTGAGTTGAAAGGGAAAAAAATTTTGGTTAAAAAACATTTTATTTTGATACTACATGGACTGCTAATCGAGCGCAAAATAAGTATTAAATGATAGAAGAAGACTGTGACGTCACGAGCGTTGCCGACAATCGTGGAACTCTCCTGCTCGTCGAGACCTTTCATTTGATACCCCACATCGATTTTGGCCATACAAATAATTTCTTGACCCAAATTACACGCAGTACTATATATAGTACAAGTAACTTCAATCTCCAGTGCATTTAAGCACTTATTTAGTTAATTTTAAACGGTTCGAGTAAAATGTATGATATATTTGACTAGTTTGTATAAAAGTCAATCGCAAATAATATTTTCTAGAGTACTACCCCTACTACAAAAACATAAATACTAAAAAAACTGTTTTGTACGAAACCCTATTATTTTCTTGAGTTTTTAAATATGATATTCTAAAAGTGCTCGCCGAGACCTTTCATTTGATACCCCACATCAATTTTGTCCATACAAAAAATATCTTGACCCAAATTACACGCAGTACTATATATAGTACAAGATACTTTAATCTCGAATTTGTTCGACGATTGTCGGCAACCCTCGATCACCAAGTGACGTCACAGTCCCTTTCCCTTTTTTGATACTTTTTAAAATGGATAACGATTTTAATTCTATATAGATTTGTTTTTAATATCTGTGCAAAACTTAAATATTTTATTTAAATTAAAATTTATTTTGAAGTGTCAGAAGCGGCTGTCAAAAATTTTATGTATTTTTTCAATATTTTAAAAACATACTTTTTCCAAAAAGTGCTAAGACTGAGTAAATTTCTGTATTATTTTTGGAAATAACTGAAAAGCTAGGTAATTTATCTGTATATTGAATTATATTTTTTTTTATCAAAGGTCCAATTTGACTTTGAGAATTTATACTATGAAAACCAAACCAATTACAACAAATAACAACATATCAAACAAACAACTTTCTGACTATGTTCAGTAAAACTCCCAGCTAATATTTAATTATAAAAAAGTGTTTTTTTTTCAATATAAATTTTATGGGTTCATTTTTTACAGAGATAACACTGTATACAACCTTGATCTGGTATTTCGTCAGCGGAGTTGAAATAATTATTCACTTAACTTAACTCTACTTTTTTATTTACTATTTTTTATTGTCTAAACCTTTGCCAGGATAACGGTTCAGTTGGTTTTTTTATCCCACCCAGATGTAAACTTTTTTTGAGTTTATATAAAAAAAACTGTAGAATCTAACTTAAAAATAACGATGCATCTTATTAAACAATTAAATAACGTATGCTTGAAAATTATATTGAGGTTTCGTAAACTAAACAACAGTGCTCACGACCAAAAAAACTAACAAGAAAAGAAAATACTTTTGTTATGGATATTCAAACTTTAACATTTATTTTCCGATAGCAAAGTGGTAAGAAGCTAGGTGATGACTTGGTTTTACATCTTTTGTTCTGTACTTTCAAATATTGTTGTTGACAAAATCCTTACATTACTATATATATACTAGCAAACCCGACGAACTCCGTCTCGCCACCAGATGGTTTCGTGAGAAAGATGAAGAAATTTTTTGTTTGTTTTATATTTGAAAAGGAAAAATTTGATTTTATCACACAACAGCAATGAATTTATTTCGATTACAAAAATGAAGTGTTTTTTAGTTGAACTTCTCTAAGTAAATGAAAGTGAATCCGCAAATTATCCGTTTCATTGAAGTGCTCTTTGGTAAACCACATTGTTTGTCTTTTGGTCTGACGTTAACACAAACAAAGCGGATGGTTTTCCAACTCGTGAACAGGCAACGTATAACTGCTCATGTGAAAAACAATGATTTTCTAAATAATCTATTTGAAATTTATCCCGCAAACATTAAGCGATTGGCCTTGAGACTTGTTATTGCGAACTGGAAATTGCAATCGTTTGAAGTCAAACGGAAGACCAGTCGGAATCATTGGTATGTCACCAAATCGCCAGCAATTTTTGATTGAATGGTGAAATTCAGTGCGTGTACATCATTATTGTTTGTGGCAAGAATTGCCCGTTGACTTAACCAAGCATAATTCTGATAATTCTCACGAATGTCATTACTCGAATTTTTAATTAAGGTGCATGAAGTTTCAGCAATTTGCATTAAGGCACGATGCTATGCACCACTAATTTTCTTAGCTATTGCGGAGCCCGAGATCTTTCCAACGAATGCAAAAATGTCGTGCGTTCTGAAGTTATTTCGTCAGGAAGGAAAACCCGACTTATTTTTATATATATGTAGATATATATTTTTTTCCCAGGAGATGACCCGCACCTCTCCATTCTCTCGGCGCGATGCCTCGTATTTGGAGCCTCAGCCGGTAGTCGGTTCCCGGCACGGAGGGGCAGACGCCCTTTTGGCGGCCGTGGAGCCCGTTCTCATCGACCTTCAGGCTCCGGTCAGCATGCCGCCACTGGCCATCGTTTCGCCGCCACTGAGGGAAATTTATTGCAGGCGCAGGACCAAGCGTAGGTAGTGAAATATATAAAATTTATATATATATATATATATATACATACTTATTAACTTCCCGTAGTAATCGCAAAAAAATCGAAAATGAAAATTTTTATATATCTTTACGTTTCAGAGGTTTCTGAACATTTTGGCATACCTTAGAAAAAATGGATGTATGTGTGTGTGTGTGTGTGTGTGTGTGTGTGTGCGCGTGTGTGTATGTATGTGCGGATTAGTATGTAAAATTTTCGTCGACGATTGCGGAAACACGGATCAACCGATTTGAATAATTCAAAAAGCATTCGATTCGTATTGATAAGGAGACGTGCTGATTAGTTTTTGGCGAAGGCAGGTCTAGCCGTTCCGGAGATACGGGACAAAAAGTGCCGAAAACGGTAACTCAGTTTTTAGGAGAACGGAGCGTCCGATTTTAATAATTCAAAAAACATTTTACTTGTATTGACAAGGTAAAGAATTGATCAAATTTTCATAAAGGCAGGTCTAGCGGTTTCGGAGATCTAACGAAAAAAGTAGAAAAAATGCCATTTGGCGGTCAAAAATGATCATTAGACATATGCACATCAAATTTTCAGATATTTTATAGAGATTTTAACAATAAGTATAAATTTTGTTTATTTTCCTATGGGTTCCGTATCAATGTTTACCCGTTAGACAGCGACGCCGCGCTTACGCGCTTTATATTTTGTCTCTATGCAGTTAAAGCAGCACGATTGCTTTGAAAAACAAGTTCAGATCTTCCAAAATATGTCAAAATAAAGAAAACATTTTTTTTTTTAAAAAAAAAAAATTTAAAAAAAAAAAATTTTTTTTTAAAAAATTTAAAAAAAATTTTTTTTTTTTCAAGAAAAAGTAATTTTTTGTCCAATTTATAGTTTCTCAAAAATCTTATTTTTTCGAAGTAAATTTTTTTCAAAAATGTTAATCGTTTTTAAAAAAATAATAATTTTTGGTACGGGAAGTTCCAGCAATTTGCCTTAAGGCACGATGCCCTAATTGCCTTAAGACAGAATTCCACTTACAGCTAGTTTATTTATTTATTTAGAAAACCAAAATACGAAGATAAAGAAGTCCAGTATGCAAAACCACGTCCAAAACAGGACAACAGTTCTGAAGATTCCTCTTCCTTACCTATACACGATAGATATGAACTCGAAACCATTTTACCGCCAAGACATGTCAGGTAAATAACTATATATATATATATATATATATATAATATATATTTATATATATATATATATATTAGGGTGGTCCTTAATATGGACATTTTCAAATTTCCTTGCTTTCAAGCGCTCAATTTGTTTTTCAAATTGATAAAAAACAATTCTCTGAAAGTTTTAGCTCGTAATATTGTCTTTAAGATAGAGCGCAATTCAATCAAAGTTTTGTTTGGAAATAGCATGAAAAAAATGTTCACTTTTAATTCATTTGTCGCTAAGTTATACTTAATTTTTTTTTTAATTTTCAAAATTTCTTCCATTCTATTTCCATACGAATTTTGATTGAATTGCGCACTATTTAAACTAAACGTTAATATTAAGAGCTAAAACCGATTTGGAACCATTTGACGCTTGGGAGCAAGGAAATTTGAAAATGTTCATATTAAGGACCACCCTAATATATATTTGAGGTGTTCCTCAGGGATAAATTCTTGGTCCACTACTATTTATTATTTTTATTAATGACATATCTGATATTATTAGCTGTCCACATTTATTATTTGCAGATGATCTCAAACTATATCTCAAATTAAATTCTATTGATGACTGCTTATTATTACAGTCTCAACTTGACTCTTTCCACTCTTGGTGTGCTTTTAACAAATTACATTTAAATATATCAAAGTGCAAGATTCTTAGTTTTTCACATCAGCGCGTTCCAATACATTTTGATTATAAAATTTCTAACACCAGCATTGATAGATGTAATGAAATTTCAGATTTAGGAGTTCTCTTTGATTCTGGTTTGTTTTTCACGGAACATATAACTGATATTTGTAATAGAACACATACATTTTTAGGTTTGATACTGAAAAATTGTAAACAATTCAATTCTAACAATGCACTTCTTTGCATGTACTATTCTAATGTATGTTCAAAATTAGAATATGGTTTGATTATTTGGTATCCTCATCAAATCAACAACTCTGATGCGACAGAGAAGGTTCAGCGAAAATTTCTGAAATATCTTTATTATAAAACATATAAAATTTACCCTGAACGTACACTTTACTAAAAGAATTTGGTAATCCTTTCCTTGCCTCACGTCGATTAATCTGTACAATTTTGTTCTTATTTAAACTTTGCAAAAATTCTATAGACTGTCCTCTTATTCTTAACCAACTATCCTTTAATGTTCCAAGGCTATCTACGCGTTCACAATTATTTTTCAATTATCCTACTCTTAAATCTAATTCTCTTTTAAATTCGCCTATTTTACTTATGTCCTCTAATTTTAACTTAATTAATAATGAAATAGATATTCACAACACTTCACCTAATCAAATAATCTCCATCTGCACAATATATCTTTTTATTTTCTTTTCAAATATCTGATTATATAAATAAATAATATTGTTACATTCTGCATTATATGTAATTTTATGTTAAGCATTTTATGTTAATAACTATATATTGTAATTTTGTATACATTTTAATTGTTATTCATTATGTAAAATAATTATATTTTTGAGTCCTCTTGGAAGAAATCTGTGGGCTATATATTTAAATAAATAAATAAAATAAATGAATATATATATATATATATATATATATATATATATATATATATATATTGTTAAGGCGCGAAGCTTAAAAAAATTACTTCGACGTCTAACTGGGTGTTGTCGATTTATTTATCCTAACCACTACACTTTTAAATTTGTTCTATAATTGAACTCTTGGCGTGATTGGTGATTATTTAAATAAAATGCGACGTTTGATATTAATATGTTTATTATAAAAAAATATGATGAATATAATGGCATCAGATAGTTGGTGTTTCTATACTGAGCTCTAAAATTATACTAAATAAAAATTATTAAAAATTGGAATTAACAATATTAGCCCCGCCCGTAAGAGGCGGGTTACATTAATTTGTACATATACGGGGGATGATTTCTTGGACTTAATATATCTGAGAAGAATGATTTCTGGAAATTATCTGAAGGCATTTTGCAGACCCATAAATAAAATCATCGACGCGGATATAGACAGTCCAGACCGATAAATTACATCAAAATTAAAAATATCTTAGGTTACTAATGCATTTAGTACTTGAACTGTGAATGGCATTAGCATTTAGACCACCTGCATCATAGTCCGGCGACACTCTAGTCTAGCGTAACAGACGACCCTTACAAAAAATAGTTCATGTTACACTATTGGGACTCGTAATAATATATTTTACGAATTCTTTACATATATTTATATTTTTTTCTATCTATTATCCTTTTCCCAGGCTCGATACTATCCGGAGCGCCTCTCGCCGCGACGTGACAACCGGAACGTCTCTTCAAGGCTGCTCCGGGCTCTCTACCGGAGCAGGTTCGGCAGCCGGAATACCTCTTGCTCCCGGAGCAGTTTCACCTCCGATTTGGGACGAAGACAAACACAGCGAATATGTCGCCGAAAAAGTTTCCAAATCTTTCGAAGCAGTCAACGCCCTTTTTGATAGGAACAATAAAACTGCGAGGCCTTATGCTGTTACGAAGAAGTTTGAGAACTTTGATGAGGCTGCTGCAGGAGACGAGGTAATAAATGGATTGATTAAAAATTTGTTTGCTTATTATAGTCGGCCGTAGGGTAGTTATAGTAATGGGCCGAAAATCGCAAAATGAAAATTTTTGCATTTCTCGACGTTTTGAAGGTTTCTGAACATTTTGGCGTACCTCAGAAAAAATGAATGTGTGTGCGTGTGTGTGTGTTTTGTATGTATGGATACAATTTTTCGGGTGCACGGATCAACTGATTTCAATGATTCATTTACCATTCGATCCCTATTGATAGGGAGATGTACTGATTAGTTTTTGGCGAAGGCAGGTCCAGCCGTTACGGAGATACGGAGCAAAGAGTGCACAAAATACAAATCGAGTTTTTGTGAGATCGAAGCATCCGATTTGAATGATCCAAAAAACATTCAATGCGTATTGACAGGAAGAAGGGGAGATTAGTTTTCAGCAAAGACAGGTCCCGACATTTCGAAGATACAGAGCTAAATGTGCAAAAAATGACAGTTTTTGAGTGAACTAAGCGTCCGATTTGAATGATATAAAGAACTCTCTGCTTGTGTTGACAAAACAATTGCTTTTGAGGATAAAAAAATATTACTTACTATTTTTTTATTCTCCATAAAATATTTTTGTAATTTTGGATTAAAAAGATTCAAAAAATTATCCAGGCTAAGCACTCTGGTACAAATGTTTACCCAAGTGCGTTTAGACTGCTTATGTACTGGAGCGCTTTTTCAATTTTGTGTTGAAAACCATTTGAAAAATCTGAAAATGCCGCCAAGCTAAGCACAGTATAAGTGAAAATGTCGCACAGAACTATTTGCAAATGCGTTCAGACTGTGACTATACGGGAGCACTTTTTTACTTTTGTGTAAATTAGGCAACTATTTTTTTTTAAATTGAATTCGAAATGAAATGACGATTGTTAATGTTCTGGAGATAAATTGATTTATGATTTAAATTTGATTTGCTCAGATATAACAAGATAGCAAATAAAATAATGAAAGTTACAATTTCTAGAATATTTCATTACGGTACGGGAAGTTTCAGCAAATTGCCTTAAGGCACGACTAGTTTGGTTTATAATTCTTTTAACCTTTTGTTCCTAGGTTGAAAAAGCCCAAGGAGACGACAATCGTGAACCCGGTGATCTTGATCCTGCTTCGCAAAAACAAGCTCTGATATCACCTCTTCGTACTGCTGCAGAACTGATGAAGTTTTTAACAAAACGTATAATTGCTCCAGAAACCGAGATCAAATTCGAAAGCGCGCTGAAGGAATCGTCAAATGTACCTGTAACCAACAAAAACGACCAAGGTAGTAGTAAATGATACATCCAGATAGGGAATGCAATACCGATAGAAAATTTCAATACCGGTATTTTGGTAATTTTTCATTTTAAAACCGGAATACGGGTAAATTACCGGTATTTTTATTATCTTAAACAAACGTAAACAAAATTGAAAGTTGCTAGTACAAATATAAAAAAATGTATATACAACTACAACTATATTCAACTAAACAATAAAAACAATAAAATAAAACAATAAGTATATTTTTTTAAATAATAATTTAACAAACGCATATCCAATTTAATTAATTCATTATCACTATCGAGTATATTGAGTACTTTACACCAAAAACAAACTTATGAGTAAGAAAGACCAAAAACTCATAAAGAATCATATTACATTATTATAATAAACTGTATTGTCTGTATCCGATGTGTTAAATTAGCATAATCTCCAATATTTTAATAAAACTAGCTGTAAGTGGAATTCTGTCTTAAGGCAATTAAGGCATCATGCCTTAAGGCAAATTGCTGGGACTTCCCGTACCAAAAATTATTATTTCTTTTAAAAACAATTAACATTTTTGAAAAAAAATTACTTTGAAAGAATAAGATTTTTGAGAAACTATAAATTGGACAAAAAATAACTTTTTTTTGAAAAAAAAATTTTTTTTAAAAAAACATTTTTTTTTTAATTTTTTTTTTTGAAAAAAATTTTTTTTTTCTTTATTTTGACATATTGTAGAAGATCTGAACTTTTTTTCAAAGCAATCGTACTGCTTAAACTGCATAGGGACAAAATATAAAGCGCGTAAGCGCCGCGTCGCTGTCTAACGCATAAGCATTGGTACGGAACCCATAGGAATGTTAACAAAATGTATACTTATTGTTAAAATCTCTTTAAAATATGTGATAATTTGATGTGCATATGTCTAATGATCATTTTTGACCGCCAAATGGCTCAATTTTTTACTTTTTCCTCCATATCTCCGAAACCGCTAGATCTACCTTCATGAAAATTTTATCGATTCTTTATCTTGTCAATACAAGTGAAATGTTTTTTGAATTATTCAAATCGGACGCTCCGTTCTCTTAAAAACTGAGTTACCGTTTTTGGCACTTTTTGCCCCGTATCTTCGGAACGGCTAGACCAGCCTTCGCCAAAAACTAATCAGCACGTCTCCTTATCAATACGAATCGAAAGTTTTTTGAATTATTCAAATCGGTTGATCCGTGTTCCCGAAATCGTCGACGAAAATTTGTATCCGCACACACATACATACAAGCACACACACACACATACACACACACACACCCACACACACACACACACACACACATACATCCATTTTTTCTAAGGTGTGCCAAAATATTCAGAAACCTCTGAAACGTAAAGATATATAAAAATTTTCATTTTCGATTTTTTTGCGATTACTATAATTTACCCTACTGGAAGTTAACAATGTGATGATTCTATAGTATTTTCAAATTTCAAAACGTTTTCGAAAAATAATATTTTATAATTGTAATAAGAAGCAAAAATATTTAGTAATTATCATAATTATTATGTATAAAGCTAGACAAAAATAAAGATTACGCAAGGGTAATCTGTATGATATAAAATATTTTGGCGCAAATGTCACAAACGAACATCATTATTTATCAGTCCAATTCTATTTATTGTAACACGATATGAAGCTCTTTGGAAAGCAATAAATATTCAGTTTAATGACGAGTTGAGATAATATTTGACATTTGTTTATCATATAGAATCACTTGAAGATATAGCTGTTTATGCCATTATGGAATTTAAAGATAATTTTGTTTCGAGTAATTTAAACTTTAGTGTATTATGTATCAAATAGCGCTTATGTAAAAATACCGAAAATACCGGTATTTATGGGGTAAATACCGGTAAAAATACCGCCGAAAAATCGGGTATTGCATTCCCTACATCCAGGTAGTACTAGATGTTTATTACTATTTTTGCAGAAACCAGTCCTTCGCCTCCAAGACCATCCCGTCTACCTCCGAAATTTTCTTCAGAACGTTGGAGGACCAATAGCAATAGTGTTGCACCAAGTCCACGCCGAAGAAATCATAGTAACACCACCAATTTGTCTTTAACATCACACAACCAGTTGTCCACCAGAAAAGTTGCAGAGAATCATTTGCAAGTCGTTGGAAATAGTGCTCCTAAATTACCAGTTCAACGAACCAAACAGTATTTGATCAATGAACAAGTAAGTGAAATTGAATTCGAAATGAAATGACGATTATTAATGTTCTGGAGATAAATTGATTTATGATTTCTGATTTACATTTGATTTGCTCAAAACAAAAACAAGATAGCAAAAATAATGAAAGTTACAGTATTTGTAATAATATATTTGAAAACGTTTAAAAATTCTCAAATATTTCTGCAAAAAAATTAAAATAAATTTTTATTTTAATAAATTCTGCATTGACTCCTTCGAAGAAGCCACGTATTGTACTGCAATATTTTGCGATTTATCTAAAGCTTTTGATAGTATTTCTCATCAAAGACTTCTTGACAAATTAGGAAATTGTGGAATTCGCGGACGTTTGCTTAAACTATTTAAATCTTACCTGTCTAATCGAACACAAAGCGTTTACTTAAATAATGATCACGAGCAAATATTTTCGGATAAATTGACAAGTACATTGGGTGTGCCCCAAGGATCAATTTTAGGGCCTCTCTTATTTCTCATATATATTAATGATAGATGACCCGACAGACGTTGTCCTGTACTCACGTCTACAATTTTTTAATATCCTATACTAATATTCACCGTTTACCTAAAAATAATAATTATTGTTTTTTAAATTGCTCTTCACGCCAAAATTGCATATACATTTATAATATGAGCGATGTAAAATGTAGAACTGCTTTAAATAAAATGATGAATCTCAATTCCCACACTATATTGGAAATTGAAGTCTTTTAAACGGTATAACATAACCATAACCATAACATAACACTGGATTAAATTAATTAATTTTTTTATTATTTAAATATCCAAAAGTGCATCTTAAACTTCTCCTAATCGATATCGTGAGGGCCGAATTGTATGTATTCATCTTTACTGTCCCATTTGTTGTTATAAAGTGAAATTTTTACGAATTTTAAAAATATTGTGGAAAGATTTGTAAAAGAAATTATCTTTGCAAAGAAATTATATATTGAAAAAAAAAAACGATATTGGAAATTTAATATCCGAATCTTGTGTTGGGGCCCCCTAAGGCGTGCGCTCGTATTTTTCGCATGCATTGCATTAAAGGTAGAACCGGCCCTGATTACCACTTAATTCCATATTTTAAGTGAATTGATTTGTCATATCCTGTTCATATGTGTATCATTCAATCTGCCATACATATACTGTATTTTATATTATTTTCATTTCTGGCACATCTCAGCTGCTTTTTGGCAATAATAATGTAGACATTTCATTTTTCTTATTCATAATCATAAATTTATTATACATATTCTAATATTGTCTAGGTTTATAAGTAAATTGAAATTTTTGGCAGATGATAGTTTTTATTTGTTTTCAATGCAAACAATGGCATGCCGTTTTTTGCAATTTTTTCCATTTATTTCTACAATATTGTTCATACATACCAGGATTTTTTAATCACATACATCATTGAAAATTTTCTTAACAAACTTCAGAAAGATTTATCAAAGTCCGAATAATCGTTTAGAAGGAGTATACAGTGAGTGCTTGTAATTTAATATGAACTTTATATAATAGCAACAGAGCTCAAATTGATTCTACGTTTTAGTTAGAAAACGTTTGTATGAGAAAAAGAAAAGGGCTGTTTTTAGGGTTTTCCCGACGATTATTCGATTTTTCTCGCCATAAGAACCATCCTTGGACTTCAACGAACATTTTAAAAAAAGTATTGGCCAAATTGGTACAGGCGTCGTTGAGTTATGCGCTCAACACATTTTGCGATTCATTTTTATATTATAGATTATGAATAAGCTTGATAAGAGCCTTAAATAATATCTATTATTATTGATTATGGCTTGCTTATGAATAAATAAATAAATAAATAAATTGTAATTTATTGTTTTTTAGGGGATGCGTGAAGTGATTCCAAGAACAGTCGCCAATTCCAGATCGTTTTTTGGAGGCTTGAAAAAAAAGTTTTTGTCAGTCGTTAATATAGAAGACAGCGTCGTGAGGATTCCCGAAGATTTCAATTTGAAACAAGAACGTCCCATGGTTGTTTCCATCGACACAGACAGAAATTTGAGAAAAGATACCACGCATGGTAAACAAATGCAGGTATTTATATATTTTTATCATATACTAGCTGACCCGGCAAACGTTGTTTTGCTAAGTAATGTATATCTAAACTAGCTGTAAGTGGAATTCTGTCTTAAGGCAATTAAAGCATCGTGCCTTAAGGCAAATTGCTGGAACTTCCCGTACCAAAAATTATTAATTTTTTAAAAACGATTAACATTTTTGAAAAAAAATTATTTTGAAAAAATAAGATTTTTGAGAAACTATAAATTGGACAAAAAATTACTTTTTTTGAAAAAAAAATTTAAAAAAAAACAAATTAAAAAATTTTTTTTTTTGAAAAAGAACTGTTTTCTTTATTTTGACATATTTTGGAAGATCTGAACTTTCTTTCAAAGCCATCGTACTGCTTTAACTGCATAGAGACAAAATATAAAGCGCGTAAGCGCCGCGTCGCTGTCTAACGGATAAACATTGGTACGGAACCCATAGTAATGTAAACAAAATTTATACTTATTGTTAAAATTTCTATAAAATATCTGATAATTTGATGTGCATATGTCTAATGATCATTTTTGACCGTCAAATGGCATTTTTTTTTACTTTTTTTGTCAGATCTCCGAAACCGCTAGATCTGCCTTCATGAAAATTTGATCAATTCTTCATCTTGTCAATACAAGTAAAACGTTTTTTGAATTATTCAAATCGGACGCTCCGTTCTCTTAAAAACTGAGGTACCGTTTTTGGCACTTTTTGCCCTATATCTTCGGAACGACTAGATCTGCCTCCGCCAAAAACTAATCAGCACGTCTCCTTATCAATACGAATCGAATGTTTTTTGAATTATTCAAATTGCTTCATCCGTGTTCCCGAAATCGTCGACGAAAATTTGTATCCGCACACACATACATACACGCACACACACACACACACACACACACATACATCCATTTTTTCTAAAGTATGCCAAAATGTTCAGAAACCTTCAAAACGTCGAGAAATGTAAAAAATTTCATTTTCGATTTTTTTGCGATTTTTATAACTTACCCTACGGGAAGTTAACAATTTCTAGAGATGAAAAAAAGAATACTTTATTTTAAGAGTGTAAGAATGTGTTGTTTGAATGGTACAGACAATGAGGTATTATAAACACAATAAACCCCAAAGCCTACTTGTATAATAAAGAATTATATAATTTATAGTAACAATATTCATTTGTCCACATTTTGTTAATACAATCAAACGGAAGATTTATACATACAAAAATATGGTATAATTCAATCCAAGTCTTTTTTAGTCAATGTTCAGTTGGTTCTTTTGGCCCCACACAGATGTAAGTTTTTAAAGTGGTTATATAAAGAAAACTGTTGAATCTCACTCAAAATTAACATTACATTTATAAAACAATTAAATAGCGTATAGTTAAAATTTATAATAAGGTCTCGTGAATTAAATCACAGTGCTCACAACCCAAAAAACTAACAACAAAAGGAAATACTTTCGTAATGGATTTTCAAAGATTACCCTTTATCTCCCGATAGCAAAGTCATAAGAATCAAGGTTATAGCTGCTTATACATCTTTTACCCTCTACTTTCAAATATTGTTGTTGAACAGTGCTAAACTTTACTGGTTTTTGACACATCGGTGGTGGACCTTTTTAACCCCGGACCTTCATATATTACTATCTATTTTTCGATAAATTCTGCGAAATTATAATTGGGAAAATGTTATTCGACAAAATGTCCATTTGATCGATAACAAATTTAGGTTCTGAATTTAAATAACATAAATAAAAAATAATATAACCTAGAAAATGTTTAATAAATACCAATGAGTATATAATTATACAAATGAGATCGTTCAGAGCACCGTGTTTGAGAAAAATATGACAAAAAGTGCATTTTTATATTAACATTTCAAAAAAGTTGATATTGTTGAGAGTGTAGTAACACTTGCTCTCCTATTTTACTAAATTGCAAATTTATAGCTATTTTTGTAAGAAACATGTGTGATTTTATATTTTTATAATTTAGTACACATATTAAGAAATAACATACAAAAATTTTGTAACTCTAGTATAACGTTTTATATTTTTAAATATTTTTCAAAATACTTATCAAACCGTGGACTTGCAACTATTGCAAGAGTGCATTTGTTTACAAAATTGCACATTTATAGCTTTTTTTGTTAGAAACATGTGTGATTTTATATTTTTATAATTGAGTTCATATATTAGGTAATAACGTATTAAATTTTCATAGCTCTAGTATAATATTGTATATTTTTAAAACATTTTTCAAAAGTACTTCTCATATCATATCCAACCGTCGTTGCGCAACTAATAAAAATAGAACATGCAAATGTGCATTGCAATTTTTGGTTTCTTTTGTTAGAAACATATTTGATTTTATATTTTTATAATTCAGTACACATATTAAGAAATAACATACTATAATTTCATAACTGTATTACGACGCTTTATATTTTTATAATATATTTTAAGCCGTCAATTTTTTTACGTCGAAACGTTTACTAACGTTTGACGTATATAAATAAAACTACAAACAAAACTACTCACTACAATTTAATCATAATTAACTAACATTCACGTAAAACATCCTATTAAACGTAATTGAACTGTCAAAAACGTTTGACATTTGACGTATTAGCCACCGCCCATTGTTTTATTTAAATTACGCTTCTACAAAAATTTTCAAATTAAAAAGTAAAGTTTCTACGCGATTTTGAAATAATATCTCACCTTTCCGACAACCTACTAATTATCACTCACTCATTCAAGACTGACTGGCCAAATCGGTTTAGCCGTTTTCGAGTTTTACTGGATCATTTTATATCGAGAGCTTTATTTTTATATATAAGATTATATATCTATTACTATTAACCCTAAATTAGTCATTTCCCCTCAGGTGCAAGCTTTACCAGCAGTCGACATCAGGAACACTCTGGTCATCCAGTGTATGCCAAACTTGAGCATACCACCAACAGAATTACCAGCACAAGGTTTGTCCAATTTTGATGCTGATGGTAAATCAGTGTCTGCTGGTATGGACAATGTTGGTCTGGTAATGTTTACACACCAGGATAGTGCTGTTAAGTGCAAGGAGAGCAAGAGCGATGTCGATGGACGACTTGTAATGGATGATGCTAATAGGGGATTTGTCAAGGTAAGTAGAGAGAAGATAGGGATGAATATTGGAAAACTAGTGGTGTATGGCATTGTGTCTCAAGGCAAATTGCTGGAACTTCCCGTACCGTAATGAAATATTCGAGAAATTTTAAACGTTCTCAAATATATTATTACAAATACTGTAACTCTCATTATGTTTTCTATCTTGTTATAACTGTGCAAATCAAATGTAAATCATAAATCAATTTTTCTTCAGAACATTAACAATCGTCATTTCATTTCGAATTCAATTTAAAAAAAAATAGTTGCCTAATTTATACTAAATTGAAAAAGTGCTCCCGTATAGTCACAGTCTAAACGCATTTGCAAATAATTCTGTGCGACATTTTCACTTATACTGTGCTTAGCTCGGCGGCATTTTCACATTTTTCAATAGTTTTCACAAAATTGGAAAAGTGCTCCAGTACATACACAGTCTAAACGCACTTGGGTAAACATTTGTACCAGAGTGGCGCTTAGACTGTGCTTAGCCTGGGTGATTTTTTTAAATTTTTAATACAAAATTACAAAAATATTTTAAGGGAAATAAAAAAAGATGTAACAATTTTTTATCCCATAATTCCCACAAAAATCCAGAATTTTGTGGTCAAAATTATAATTCCAACTAGAATTTTATAGCCAAAAAATATGGTTCCAAATAGAAATCCTTTGTCAAAGATTTAATTCCAACTGAAAATCCATGGTCAAGTGCGCAATTTTAGCTCAAAATCAAGAAACAAACATATCTCTATCTTGACTAAAATTTAAATTTTTCTAGCTTACAATAGATTTAACTTTGAAATTAAACACTAACAAATTATAAATTTTACTTCAATTTTATTTAACAAATAATGTAAAGTAATTGAATTTATTTGATACATAATAATTTTATTTGGCAATATAATAGTAATACATATACATATTACAAACTTATGAACTAACGATAACAAATAACAAAAATTGCTACTAAATTATTATATACAACACTTAATAAAAACTGGAATTTCTTACTAGAAACACTTCTTACTTTTCTAAATTTTTGATTATACTTTTATTAATTTTCATTTCTGAATTTTAAATACATTTATCTTAAAAGCAATTTTGTTACTTATTTTGAATAATTACAAAAAATCTAAATATAAATGCTTATATATATATATATATATATATATATATATATATATAAGCATTTATATATATATATATATATTTATATAAATTTATTTTTATATTTATATATATATATATATATATTATATATATTAGGGTGGTCCTTAAAATGGTCATTTTCGAATTTCCTTGCTCCCAGGGGCTCAAATGGTTCCAAATAGATAAAAAACGATTTTCTGAAAGTTTTAGCTCTTAATATTAACGTTTAGATAGAGCGCAATTCAATCAAAGTTTTGTATGGAAATAGCATGAAAAAATTTTCAAAAATTTCAAAAATGTTTTTTAGATGTAATTTAGCGAACAAATGATTAAATGAAACTCATTCATTTGTCGCTAAGTTATACCTAAAACATTTTTTTTAAATTTTCAAAAAATTTTCCATGCTCTTTCCATACAAAGTTTGATTGAATTGCGCTCTATCTAAACTTTAATATTAAGAGCTAAAACTTTCAGAGAATTGTTTTTTATCAATTTGGAACCATTTGAGCCCCTGGGAGCAAGGAAATTCGAAAATGACCATTTTAAGGACCACCCTAATATATATATAGTATGTATATAAATTTATCTATATAAAGTACCACAAGTCTCATTCCTTGGTTCAATGATTTCAGTAGTACACGAACAACTTTTTTTAAAAATTTCTGTAAGTCAAACTCCTTATATTAGAATTTTGTAATTTTAATATTGTAATCTTTAATATATCTATTTTATTCAGAAGCATTAAATTTAGTAAAATATGTCTCACATTATTAGATATGTAAATTTATCTGAAAAAAGTACCACGAGTGCATCCACGATAACCAGTACTGTTCAAAGGGCTTTGGGAAAAGAAATCTCTAAGCCAATCCCTTTGTATTAGAACCTTTTAAATTTAATATCTTATTTATCAATATATCTATTTTAACTGCATAAATTAAAATTGCTGAAATTTATCACACAATTTGAGATATTGAATCTTATCTGCTCCAAAAACCACGAGTACATCTACCATACATCTATATATATATACCTTGTTAAAAAAAAATCTCCAAGCCATACTGCTTGTATTAGAATTTTGTAATTTTAATATGTTATTCTTTAATATATTTATTTTATTCACAAATATCAAAATTTATAAAATATAGCTGGTAACATGTGATATTAATATTTATCTGAATAAATCACTGTTTTATGTGGCCCCTTTTTCTAATTTTTTCTAAGTTGGCCATCACTGCTTTACGTGGCCCCCTTTTTTAATTTTTCCCATGTTGGCCATCACTGCTTTTTGTGGCCCCTTTTTTAATTTTTTCCATGTTGGCCATCACTGCTTTATGTGGCCCCTTTTTTAAATTTTTCTAAGTTGGCCATCACTGTTTTATGTGGCCCCTTTTTTAATTTTTTCTAAGATGGCCACCACTGCTTTATGTGGCCCCTTTTTTAAATTTTTTCCATGTTGGCCATCACTGCTTTATGTGGCCCCTTTTTTTAATTTTTTCTAAGTTGGCCATCACTGTTTTATGTGGCCCCTTTTTTTAATTTTTCTAAGATGGCCATCACTGCTTTATGTGGCTCCTTTTTTTAATTTTTTCTAAGATGGCCATCACTGCTTTATGTGGCCCCTTTTTCTAATTTTTTCTAAGTTGGCCATCACTGCTTTATGTGGCCCCTTTTTCTAATTTTTTCTAAGTTGGCCATCACTGCTTTATCTGGCCCCTTTTTCTAATTTTTTCCATGTTGGCCATTACTGCTTTATGTGGTCCCTTTTTCTATTTTTTTCTAAGTTGGCCATCACTGCTTTATCTGGCCCCTTTTTCTATTTTTTTCTAAGTTGGCCATCACTGCTTTATGTGGCCCCTTTTTCTAATTTTTTCCATGTTGGCCATCACTGCTTTATGTGGTCCCTTTTTCTATTTTTTTCTAAGTTGGCCATCACTGCTTTATCTGGCCCCTTTTTCTAATTTTTTCTAAGTTGGCCATCACTGCTTTATGTGGCCCCTTTTTCTATTTTTTTCTAAGTTGGCCATCACTGCTTTATCTGGCCCCTTTTTCTATTTTTTTCTAAGTTGGCCATCATCGCTTTAAGTGGCCCCTTTTTCTAATTTTTTCCATGTTGGCCATCACTGCTTTATCTGGCCCCTTTTTTTAATTTTTTCCATGTTGGCCATCACTGCTTTATGTGGCCCCTTTTTCTAATTTTTTCTAAGTTGGCCATCACTGCTTTATGTGGCCCCTTTTTCTAATTTTTTCCATGTTGGCCATCACTGCTTTATGTGGCTCCTTTTTTTAATTTTTTCTAAGTTGGCCATCACTGCTTTATGTGGCCCCTTTTTCTAATTTTTTCTAAGTTGGCCATCACTGCTTTATGTGGCCCCTTTTTTAAATTTTTTCTAAGATGGCCATCACTGCTTTATGTGGCCCCTTTTTCTAACAACATTCATGTAAAATTATTTATTTAATTGTAAAAGAACATCTCATTGCTTATCTCAAGTATAATGGATAAATGAGCGTTTGATGGTAATAATTTTTATAAAGAGTTTTTCAGTATAGTTCGTTATAGCGCGTTAGATAATATTGTAGATCGTTTAATTATAAACACATTTCCCGAAATAAACATTCGTTTAGATTAAATGGTCTAAAAGTTATTAAAGATATAAAATAAATTAGAGATCAATATGTTGCCTAAAGAAAAATGCGTAGAAACGATAACTAAATGTTAATTTAGTTAATTAAACTAAAAATCCAAGACCAATGATATAATTTCAGCTAAAAATTGGTGGCCAAAGGCACAGATCGATAATCTTTATCAAGATTACATTTAATTTTGATATTTTTTAGAAAAACTATTTAAAGTTTAAAAAAATTTAAGAAAGAATTTAAGAAAATTTAATTTCAATTTGAAATCAAAGGCCAACAATGACATTACAACTAAAAATCCATGGCTAATAATGTGATTCCAGCTCAGAATCTAGGACCAATAAGATATTTATCTAAATAGTACATTTTTTCAATATTTTTACCAGAAAGAGTTACATTTTAGGACCACAAATATAATTGGAATAAAAAAAATCAGTATGTAAGATAAAATTCCAACTATAAATCCATGGCCAATAATTGAAATTTAACATTTCAAACTTACAAATAACTCTGTGTGACATTTTCACTTACACTGCGCTTAGCTTGGCGGCATTTTCACATTTTTCAATAATTTTCACAAAATCGGAAAAGTGCTCCAGTACATAAACAGTCTGAACGCACTCGGGTAAGCATTTGCACCAGAGTGGCGCTTAGACTGTGCTTAGCCTGGGTAATTTTTTGAATTTTTAATCCAAAATTACAAAAATGTTTTAAGGAAAATATAAAAAGATGTAATAATTTTTTATGTATCCTTTAGGTTAGGCACAGCATGCCCCATCAAAAAGAGTTCTCTCATCAAACCGAATCTGCTGTTTTGAGAAAAAATTCTCAGCAAACTCCAAAACAAGTTGAAGCAGTTACACAAACATCTCAGACACCTTCGGATAAATCCCAAAATTTGTCGCCTGATGTATCTACTTCATCATCAAGACGACGAAAACCAGATTTGCCATCTGATTTGCCAAAATCCAAGACGAGATCTAGAATTTTGCCAGATTTATCAGACTCTCAGTCACCTCGACGAAATTTATCCAAGGTACGAATTTATCTGACACTTTTTACTTTAATTTTTATATCGGAGTGTATAAAAGTGTTTTCTAGGAAATATTGTATATTTTATCTAGTTTCACGCTATCTAACTGAAAAGGGGTGCTTTCATATAAAAATTGTGAGTTATTTGACAAAATCTTTGAAATTAAAATCTTCGTAAGGCTTCCAAAATGTTTTAGCTTCAACGCTTTGGCTTAAAATTATATTTATTTTGTTATAATTTAATTAAATATATTTTCAATATTATATATCATTAGAAAGCTGATAAAATTATCTATAATAACGTATATAAAAAGTTGAAACTCTCAGAACAAAATTGTCTAGAAAAAAACTTTAAAAACGTTTTTTTTTTTTAATTTAACGCTAACTAATCACGAGATAATTCTTACCGGTGCTTTGTTTCAGTACAGTAGTATGTACACTTAATTTGTGCATTTATTTATTGAATCTCTTGTAACTTTTAAACCCTTCATGCAAAATTATTATAATATTTTACAAATCCGTTCAAAATTAAATAATCTAAAAATATTTCTAACATACAGTCCCTACACCAACTCGGTATACTTTAAAATTGCAATCAAAAGTATATATATATATTTTATAGTTTTATAAATTATAAATTAAATAAATTAAAAAAATGTCCCGAATGTTCTATTTATTGTTAAAGAATGAAATATCGAATTCAAAGTCGTTTTATTCAAAACTTTTATATAGGAGTGTATAAAATTGTTTTCTAGGAAATGTAGTAAATTTTACCTAGTTTCTGCTGTACTAATAAAAAATGATGTTTTCAATACAAAATTTCCGAGATATTTAAAAAAAATGTAGAAAAATGTCCTGAATTTTCCATTGAATTTATCAAAATTTCAATTTCAAGTTGTTCTAAAAATAATAATATATTCTTGGCGAACTTGTGAAAATTAGAAATCGAGGGTATTACTATTCGATGGCAAATTAAAAATGTTCTTAGAACAACTTTTTGAATCACCAAAATATCTGCAATAGTTTTTACAAAATTGCATTTTTACACTTTGCAAATTTTATAAGTTGTAAAAAATTAATATGGTTCCTGCAAAATCGAAATGTTTAAAAATGCAATATCTTGAGAACGCTTTGAGATATTTTAGAAATTCAAAAAGTCCTTTATATAATACTTCTAATTTGCCATCGAACTGTATGAATCACGATTTGTTGTTTTAACTCCTTCACTAAAAACGCAACATTAATTGGCGTACTCACATAGAAAGCATCAAATAACACAATCGGTAATAATAAATTAACTTTAAAAATATATTAACTGACTATTAATATAGCATCGACTTGCATTGTTAACTATTTCTCCAAATCCTGAATATTTATTTATGCCTAATGTATATTCTCGATGAATTAGTAAAAATTGGAAATCAAGAGTATTTCTATTCGATGGCAAATTAAAAATGTTTTTAGAATAACTTTTTGAATCACCGAAATATCAGCAATAGTTTTTATTAAATTGCATTTTTACACTTTGCAAATTTTATAAGTTGTGAAAAATCAATATGGATCCTGCGAAATCGCAATGTTTAAAAATGCAATATCTCGAGAATGCTTTGAGATATTTTAGAAATTCAAAAAGTCAGTTATATAATACTTTCAATTTGCCATCGAACTGTATTAATCACGATTTGTTGTTTTAACTCTTTCACTAAAAATGCAACATTAATTTGCACATTCATATAGAAAACATGAAATAACACAATCGGTAATGAAAAAATAAGAAGGAAAAATCGAATTCAAAGTCGTTTTATTCAAAACTTTTATATCGGAGTGTATATAACTGTTGGCATGGAATCGTAGTAAATTTTATCTAGTTTCACTCTATTCCACTCAAAAAGGATGATTTTATATAAGGTTTCGGAATTATTTGACAAAAATAAAAAAAAAATGAATTTTCTATATTTATTGTTTTAGAATGAAATATCGAATTCAAAGTCGTTTTATTCAAAACTTTTATATCGAAGTGTATAGAAGTGTTCCCTAGAAAATATTGCAAATTTTATCTACTTTCACCTTATTTAACCAAAAATGGTGTTTTCATATAAAATTTGTGAGTTATTTGACAAAAACCCTAAAAATTTTCTATTTATTGCTACTAAATAATCAAATATCAAATTCAAAATCCTTTTATTTTGTATTAGGTTTTACCACCAGGATCCAACATAGAATCACCAATCCCATCACCATTACGTGCAACAACTGATATTTCATCAGAGATTTCGTCACAAGATTCTAAAAGACAACAATTTAGGAACAGAAGAAGGCACGAAAAGTTGGCTGAGAGTGAACCTGAATTGGGCTCGTTTAAAGGATTTAGCAGAGGCAGAAGGATTTGCGGAGGCGCTGATAAAATAAAGGACTACTATGACCACAAGTAAGGGTAAAGGATAATTGTTACCAAAAATTGGATGTACTGAATTGTTTTGTTTTAGTTCCAAGTTGCAAAGAAGTCCTAGAATACCTTCAAGGCGTGTCCAACGCGGTATGTCCTTCGTAGACAAAAATTCATTAGACAGAGCTTGTGATCTTACAGGGAAAGTTGCGTTGGATCCTGATGAATTCGAGTAACTATTTTTATTTTATTTGGTATTACTATTACTACTATTTTAGTAACTCTTTATTTTCCATTCTAGTGTTTCTGTAAAACCTACAAAGGGATTACTGAAGCGTCATCGACGTGGTGGTGGTATTGCAGATCTGGTACGTGGTTTGGATGCCTATACAAAAGGGGTAGCTGGTAAATTGGCCTGGTACGAGCAATATGATCAGAAGTACTTGTTGAGCACAAAATCAGACAACGAGGTAAAGAGTAATCACATTTTTTTTCTTTTTTACCATTTAAATTACAATCTGTCTTAGTGAAGACATTTAGTAATTGGTATGTTATAATATATGGTTTATTTAGAAAGATTACTCAATGGTAATTCTTTCTAGTGTGGGTAATCACAATTTTAGTAACATTTCCTGATTGATTGATTGAATAGAATAAGTGTGCTACCAATAGTTCTGTCCTTTGCATTATAAGGTCAAGGAACCAAGCCTAATGAATAAGGGAATTTTTTTTTACGTTTTAGTAAATTATGGGAAAAGTTGGTCCGGGATATTGTTTTTTGTTTAGCTTTGTTGAAACTATATAATATTTACTAAAATTCTGTATAAATAGTTTACTAAAGTCCTGTAGAAAGTTTTGTATAAAACTAGTGTATACTCGACCTAATACATCGTAAGAATGTTTAATATACGAATTTTGTCGGGACATTTTGTTAAATAATACAGAAATTTTGTCTGGTGCACTCTTTTTGAATTAGTTTAGCAGATTGTAGATAAAATTTACTAAACTTCTGTATAAATAGTTTAGTAAAGTCCTGTAGAAAGTTTTGTATAAAACTAATGCGAACATAGCCTTACATGTTGGTATGTGGAATTTGTGGGGACGTTTTTTTTTAAATTTTGTTAAATTACCCGAAAATTTTGTCCGGGGCACTCTTTTTTGTTTATCTTACCAAAATGTAGATACAATTTACTTAAAATCTGTATAAATAGTTTACTAATGTCCTCTGCAAAATTTTGTATAATTCTATTGCAAACATGCCCTTACATATTGTGATAATTTACAATATGTGGATTTGGTAAGGATATTTTTTCAGATTTTGTTAAATTACTCGAAATTTTTGTCCGGAGCACTCTTTTTTGTTTATCTTACCAAAATGTAGATGCAATTTACTTAAATTCTGTATAAACAGTTTACTGAAGTCTTATGCAAAATTTTGTATAAAAGTGTGAACATGGCCATGGCCTAATATATTATACAATATATGAATTTGTAGGGACATTCTTCCTCATTTTGTTAAATTACTCGAAATTTTTGTCTGGAGCACTCTTTTTTGTTTATCTTAACAAAATGTAGATACAATTTACTTAAAATCTGTATAAATAGTTTACTAAAGTCTTATGCAAAATTTTGTATAAAAGTGTGAACATGGCCATGGCCTAATATATTATACAATATATGAATTTGTAGGGACATTTTTCAGATTTTGTTAAATTACTCAAGAACTTGTTCCGAGACATTAGTTTTTGTTTATCTTAACGAAATGATAAAATTTACTTAAATCCTGTATAAATAGTTTACTAATGTCCTCTGCAAAATTTTGTATAATTCTATTGTAAACATGCCTTTACATATTGTGACAATTTACAATATGTGGATTTTGTCAGGACATTTTTTCAGATTTTGTTAAATTACTCAAAAACTTGTTTCAAGACACAAACTAAACTAAATAATAACAAACTAAACTTCTTGTTTAGCTTAGCAGATTGCAAATAAAATTTACTAAAGTTCTGTATAGATAGTGTACTAAAGTCCCTTGGAAAGTTTTGTACAAGACTAGTGTAAACAATTCCTTATATAATATATTGAAAGAATTTTTAGTATATGGATTCTGTGGGGACATTTTTTGAAATTTTGTTAAATTCTTCAAAAACTTGTTGCGGGACACTGTTAGGAGATTGCAGATTAAATTAACTAAAAAATTTTATAAACACTTCATTATAATCCTTGACAAAATTTCAATATATAAATTTTCCTGACAAAATATAATTTCTATTTTTTCTGTTATTTTAATTGCACAGTGTGTTACAAGCTTTAGCCTAAAGCCGCACGCACACTTCACATTTTATATATAACAATTGTTTATGGGTTTATATGAAGCCGGTTGAGTGTGGTGGAAGCTTTAGCGTTGTAAAGCGTGTTTCACACTTGAACTTTTGCATTTTATTGAACAAAATCAATATTTATTTTTAAAATTAGATGTAATTTACCTTAATTTCATAAAAATTTGTATCTAATAATAAAACTATTGTCGATTGGAATAACAATTCCTGAATGATTGTATTATGAATTATTATGAATAGAAAATGCAGTATTATAAATTATAAGTGGATTTATGAATAAATGTTTTAGTATATAGATATTTATAAAGAAGTATAAACTATTCAGAAAATAAAATATAATACTTAATATAATAATAAATAAAATAAAATATAATATAATAATTGATGTTTCTTATCTCTAGGAGGTTTATTTTAACGAAGAAGTCTTCACCAAGGAGGCTTGCACAAGTCCTGATGCTCCACAAATAAAACAATTTGGAGGCAATGTACCGAGTACACATCAGCTCAAAACACAAATGGATGATAAGGCTGTTTCAGCTGCTGAGATACCACAAAATACAGGGTAAGATAATTTAAGACTAATTGGTACAAAATAATTAAAACTAGTGGTGTATGGCATCGTGCCTTAAGGCAAATTGCCGAAACTTTCCGTACCGTAATGAAATATTCGAGAAATTTTAAACGTTTTCAAATATATTATTACAAATACTGAAACTTTTATTATTTTTGCTATCTTGTTATATCTGAGCAAATGTAAATCATAAATCAATTTATCTCCAAAACATTAACAATCGTCATTTCATTTCGAATTCACAAATCTGAAAAAGTGCTCCCGTATAGTCACAGTCTAAACGCATTTGCGAATAACTCTGTGCGACATTTTCACTTATACTGCGCTTAGCTTGGCGGCATTTTCGCATTTTTCATTAGTTTTCTCACAAAATTCGAAGTGCTTAGCCTGGGTAATTTTTTGATTTTTTAATCCAAAATTACAAAAATATTTTATGGAAAATAAAAAAAGATTACTAAGACACTATTACTATAAGAAATAAAACTATTACTAAGACACGTGTTTGTGCATTGTAGTTAATATAATTAGATATTTTAAATGCGTTTAAATCGCATTAGTTAGTTTTAGTGAAAACAAAAGCTTAATTTTCGAAATAAATAGTCAAAATTGTATGTAAGTAAGTAAATTTCGTTATTAGTTCTGTAATCCAACCCACTAAATTTTTTCTCGATTACATTGTTTTAATAGCCATATAATGTAATGTAACTAATTTCGAAATTTGGCAAATGAATACCGAACAATTTATTTAGCATTGCATTATTAGATACGATAAAAATAATTTGAAATGACATTTCGACATTTTTGAAAAAAATAGCAAGAAACTACACATGATATGTATTATTAGGTTGTCAAATATCTCCCTTCCGCTTTTTTGCTCTTGGTTCATAATACAAAAAGGCGGAAGGGAGATATTTGACAACCTATTATCTATGTATACAATTATGTATTCGAAAATCATAAATTTTAGGCATGTTTTCTACGTAATTTTGTCTGATTAAAAAAAAATTACTTAAGCAAAACCGAAATGAATTAGAACTTATATTCATCTGAAATTTGGGTAATTTTATTTGAAACGAAATCATACATACCACACGCAGAAAGTTTTTTAGATCAATCAAATCGGACGCTTAGTTCTCTCAAAAACTGCAATTTGTTGCACATTTAGCCTTGTATCTTCGAAATGGCGGGACCTGTCTTTGCCAAAAACTAATCACCTCTTCTCCCAATCATTACAAATTGAACATTTATTAGATCGTTCAAATCTGATACTCCGTTCTTTCAAAAACTTGATTTGTATTCTCTGCACTCTTTGCTCCGTATCTCCGTAACGGCTGGACCTGCCTTTGCCAAAAACTAATCAGCACATCTCCCTATCAATAGGAATCGAATGGTAAATGAATCATTCACATCGGTTGATCCGTGCGCCCAAAAATAAACGAAAAATTGTTTCCATACATACAAAACACATACACATCCATGTTTTCTGAGGTGTGCCAAAGTGTTCAGAAACCTTCAAAACGCCGAGAAATGCAAAAATTTTCATGTTCGATTTTTGGACGATTACAATAACTACACTACGGGAAGTTAATAAATATTTTTTGTTGGTTTTTAGTTTTGATGCAACTACTATGCCGATTATAACAGAACGCATAGGCCAATGCATTTCATCAGAAATTGATCAAATTGATGACAACCTTCAAGCTTTGCAAAAAAGATGTGCATCATACAGGTAATACAACAACCATAACCATTAAAATGTGAATTTTATCTAGTTTTACCCTATCTAACTGAAAAGCGGAGGTTTCATATGAATTTTTGAGTTATTTGACAAAAACCAAAAAAATGCCCCGAATTTTCTATATTTATTGCTTAAGAATGAAATATCGAATTCAAAGTCGTTTTATTCAAAACATTTATATCGGAGTGTATAAAAGTGTTCCCTAGGAAATATTGTGAATTTTATCTCATTTCACTCTATTTAACTGGAAAAGTGGTGGTTTAACCCTTAAAACATTGTTTTATAACTCATCATATTTACAGATCCAAGGCAGCGTTACGTCACAGGCCATCCTTGTCAACCTTCACCACCATCGAAGACAAAACTCCTAAATCGCCAATAAATTCCGTAGAACCTCCACCAATTTCACCACCAATATCAGTAAAACGCAAACCAGTGGCGTCCAACACTATACAAGAAGAATCCTCAGGAGTGCACGTCCATGAATTTAGACTTTTATCTGAGATCAGGCGGGAGGTTTATGCTGGTGGTGCTGATAAGGATGATAAGAAAATTTCTAAAGATGATGGTAAAAAAAAGAAAGACACTGAGGGTAAAAAGAGTCAACACAGGAGACGGAATTGTGATGGCAGTAAGTACATGATTAATAAATACACTAATAAAAATCTTAATAAATATAGAAAATTTGGGATATTTTTTTGGTTTTTGTCAAATAACTCAAAAATTTCATATGGAACCACCCCTTTTCAGTTAGATAGGGTAAAACTAGTTAAAATTTACAACATTTCCTAGGGAACACTTTTATACACTCCGACATAAAAGTTTTGAATGAAACGACTTTGAATTCGATATTTCATTCTTAAGCAATAAATATAGAAAATTCGGGACATTTTTTTGTTTTTGGTTTGAATTTTTTTATAAATTAAACGATTTATGATTAAGACTTAAAAATGCAAATACTAAAATCGGTGATTCCTCTTGAATATTTTTTTAAAAAAATATTAACCTAGATAAATAACACCAAGACATTTGCTTTGTTTTGACTGAATTTAAAAGAATAATGTTGGTTTTGAGGATTTTTAGAAATTATACTATTTATAGTTAAGACTTGAAAATTGATCCAAATATACTTCAATGTGTCTACTATGACAGCAAATACTAAAACCGATGATTTCTCAAATACATTTTTAATAAAAATACTAATTTAGATAAATGACACCAAAGCATTTGCTTTGTTATGACTGAATCCAAAACAGTAAAGTCGGTTTTGAGGATTTTTATAAATTATACTATTTATAGTTAAGACTTGAAAATTGGTCCAAATATACGTCAATATGTCTACTATGACAACAAATACTAAAATCGATGATTCCCAATATACATTTTTTAATAAAAATATTAATCTGGATAAATGGCACCACGAGATTTTACTTTGTTTTGATGAATCCAAGTGAGTAAAGTCGGTTGTAAGGATTTTTAAAAATTATACTATTTATAGTTAAGACTTGAAAATTGGTCATAATATACTTCATAGTGTCTACTATTATATATATATATATATATATATATATATATATATATACATAAATATGTATGTAATATACAAATATTATCCGCTAGGTCGTTCTATTTTGAATTGTTCAAAAACCAACCGTTATTCGTACAGAAACAACTATGTTTCATATGTATATATATACAAATATGCATATATACGTATATATATATATATATATATGTATATATGTATATATGTATATTTATATGAATATAATATCGTTTGCATAACATACATTCTCTTTGGAAACATTCTTAAAACGCGCGCACGAAACAATAGCATTCATTTTCGTATCGTAATGGCTTTGCAGATATAATTTTAAATTATATACTTATATATATATATATATATATATATAAATCTATATACAAATCTTAGATATAAAAATTCACCAAAATACTTGCATAATTTAGCAGGCTTGGGCAGAAATACCAAATTTTGTCCAATATCTAAAGTGTTGCATTCAAGTGCGGTTTTTGGTCACTAATTTTGGTTTTACTAAAATGTGTTGTAAGAACAATATATAGATGGTACCTTTGGCTATATATCTGCCATAGACAGTTTTAAAATTCAAAGGCAGGTTTAGAAGATATACAGAAACTCATCGAAATATACCACATAGTTTCACCAAAGTTGTTATAAGTGATAAGATTACCAATGCACTAATATGCATTTTTGGTACACAAATTGTAAATAACTCAAAAAAAATCATATGGAACCACCGCTTTTCAGTTAGATAGGGTGAAACTAGATAAAATTTACAACATTTCCTAGAGAATACTTTTATACACTCCGATATAAAAGTTTTGAATAAAACGACTTTGAATTCGATATTTCATTCTTTAGTAGCAATAAATATAGAAAATTCGGGACATTTTTTTGGTTTTTGTCAAATAACTCAACAAATTCATATGAAACCACTCCTTTTCAGTTAGATAGGATGAAACTAGATAAAATTTACAACATTTCGTAGGGAACACTTTTATATCCTCCAATATAAAAGTTTTGAATAAAACGACTTTGAATTCGATATTTTATTCTTAGCACAACTTTTTTTTTACCAGCATTTAGTTGCACGAGGGACATCATAATTCCTTACGGCGGTCTTTGTGCTGAAGAGTGTTCCATTGGTTCATCAGATGAGATGTTAAATTTCGAGCTCAATACTAAAAGTCGGAGCAAACCTGAAGTTAATGATAAACCACCATCAAGGGTAAGAATGCACCATTAATGAAGTAAAGAGAGAGGAAAAAAGGGTATAACCTCTGAATTTTTTTACTCTGATTTGCGTGAAATTTTGGAATTATGTTTATCTTAACCTCAAGTTCAAAAGTGAAAACAATTCGGGTTGCGACCCCTTAATGAATAAGTGACTATTGAGCCGTTTTATCACTAGAAAATATTTTTAATATTAAAGGATATAATTAAACAATATTTTTTAATACATTTACCTTGCAATAAAATCATTTTCAACTCCGTGAAAACCCTAAAACCCTTCAAACAATCTTTAAATTGAGAAAAAAACACTTAAAAATAAATTTCGGTATGATATAATTAGAATTACGTATAAAGTAAATAATATTTTATGTTTTCTATCTTGATTATCAAATTTTTAACCTTGTTTAGATCCTTAAAAACAACTCCTTGATGAAAAATTGTTTGAAAAAATTATTTTGAAATTGAAAGAAATTTAAGAAATCCAAAATGATATGAATGTTATTTCAATTTCTCGAAAATAATTACCATATCCATAATTTGTTCAACTCTTAACACTACACTTGAATAAAAACAGTTAATATAACACTAGTACCCAGTATAATTTTGTCTAAACTCGTATATTTGTTGTTCTTGTTACTGCAATTATTAAACTTTCATTTGACTATAGTGATATAAAACTATATTAATTTATTTAACACGTGGACCATTCAGTTATAAGATACTTTACTATAAGAATAAATTGCCTGCCAAAATTCTGTACCATGAAGATATATATATATACACACACACACACACACACATATATATATATATATATATATTTTGTATGATTCTGAATTTGATGTTGACATATGTATTAACAAAGTCTAATATATATCATATATCATATAGCATAACATAATCGGTTATGCCCGATTATTAGACTTTGTTAATATATATATATATATATATATATATATATATATATATATATATATATATATATATATAGTTTTGGGCACCAAATACCGCCTACTTATACATTGCTCGAAATATGGACACAATTCGACAAAAATGCGATTAGTTTTCGGGTCATAACTCTTTTAATTTCGACTCCATCACAATTTGTAATATACCATTTGAAAGCTAAATAAAAGGGCTACAACTTTTTTATTATAATTTTTTTCGTAACTCTTCTCATTTTGAAACGGCGAACCGTTAAAGGATTCGAGAGAGATTCTAATTGCGCGGCCGCGCACTCTTTAAACAATCATAACTCTGTCAATGAAAGAAAAATAATAAAAAACAATAATAAGCCAGAAAGATCCCTTTGATTTTTATCTATATGCTTTTATACGTATCTTTTATTCTTTTTGAGATATAAAGAAAATAAGTTCGATTTTTAAAAAAATCGGCAAAAAAAGTTGTTATAAAATCGTGGGTTGTCTGAAAATAGTTTGTACTAAAGTAGTGAATCTGCTAGAATCCATCAAGATGTCTATAATGAAGTGAATTCTAAATAGAATGTGAATGACTTTAATTCTAGTGGAAATGGCGCTCATTAAACCATATGATTTAAAAGAAAAAAACATCATATATGCTTTTTATTTGCATGTTAGCTTACTCATTTTACACGCAACAAACTTATATAAAAATATAAAAATAATACTTGTAACAGCACACATTTTAAAGCTTATGTTGAGCACTATAAAATCCAATTTTACCGAAATGCATAAAATGTAAAACCTCGCCACTATGTGGCTTTAAATACAACAATTAAATCTTGAACGAAATAAAAAACGACTTTGCTCTTTCAAATCTTGCTTAATATTTTTCCTAGAACACTTTATGAAACACCGATTTATTAAGACTTTTATTGACATTATTTTGTTCATTACATGATTTTCGTTAAAATGTATATTTTCGGAGATATTTGCAAACAAACGAACAAAAACGCCAAAAATATATGAATCTTTAGAAGCCAGTAACTTGAAAAGTATTAGTTTTTTTGAAAACCTATAACAGACATTTTTTTTTATAATTAGTTGTTCTATCGATTCCCGACGTTATTGAAAAAATGTAATGTAAATGTAAAATGTAAATGTGTCATCCCTAACCCGAATTGATTTCACTTTTGAACTTGAGGGTAAGATGAACCTAATTCCAAAATTTCATGCAATTAGGAGCACAGTAAAAAAATTTAGTGGTTATACCCTTTTTTCCTCTTCGTTTACTGCACTACTTAAAAAAAACTTTTTTAAAAGCTGATGTTTTCATAAAAAGTCTTTTACCCCAGGGTGCAAGTCGTAGACAATCCGAAGCAAGTGCCAAGTCTCCGTCCTGTAGAACTCCATCTTGCAAAAGCCCTTCGTGCAAATCACCTTCAGTACTAGAAGACCAAGAAGGGACAAGTTGTCCTTCGTCTCCGTCAGTCCGGTGTTATATGGACGACAAGAAAATTTCTATGGCGAGAAAAAGTAATTATTCTTTGGCTTCACCGGATAGAGGTTTGAGGAAAAGCACTTTATCTGTGACGGCTACTCCGAGGGACAGATGCAGGGTCAGTGATATTTTGGAGGGCAGTTTGGATAGTAGTATCAGAGATAGGGTTGTTGAAGTTGTCAGGGATCCTTCACCTGCAAACAGTGGCTTGAACAGGATCACAGAGTGTAGTGAGAATGAGACGACTACTACCAATAGGAGTGGTGATTCAATGTAAGTAGATACCAGTAAATGTTACCTTCTTTAGGCTCGACATGGGTGTAAATCCGTACAAATGCAACAAAAATTGTTACGGCAAGGTCAAGTGAAAGTCATTTGCTCTCGGTGATATGATTTCTATACGGGTCGATTTGATTGGTCGTATTTATGCGAGGTTTCTTGGTATGCGTGACTTTATACGTGCGTACGTCACCGAAAGCGTGAAGCATATTGTTCAAATTTCCGGTGTGTTAATATCGTGTTAAATCGTGAGTTAATAAAAAATGCCTAGATCGAAAAAATATTTTATCCCGTCCCCCATAAATAATTGTAGTGCAAATAATGAAACAAATGAAAAATCTGCGCTGCGTAAGAAACGTAAGTTTATTGAAGTAATTTGTATTATTCGAGTTTTACGAGTTTACTATATACCTTTGAGGTTATTACTAAAATGGAAAATATTTTTATAGAAAAGACAGATACAACAGTTGCTCAAAGAATGAAACTGTATCGCCAGCGAAATAGTCAAAACAAACAAGCAGTTAATAAACGTATGTTAATTTCAATTACATGAAGTTCTACAAACACAATTACATGATGAGTGAAATTGTAAAAACAATATTTCTTTATTGGAAGTTTAAAGAAAGTTTACATGTTTCTCTTTTATGATGGCTATGAAGACTAATTTTAATTTATTATAATAGTTATTATAAATATTGATATAGGTTCAAAGCCTTTTACAAACTCTAAAAGATCAAGATTACATCGTCAAAAAATAAAACAGCTGCAGGAAAATACATTGTTTACTGCTAATTTATTAGAAAATCTTGAGCCAGGTATCTATTTAGACGTTAATGTCAACACAATTGAAATAAGTAAGAATTTTTTTTTGCTATTTGACTCCTGAAAAACGCTTAAACTGCTCACATTTAAACATATTATTCTGTTATTTTTTTAGATGAAAGTACTGCTGTAACTTTTTCTGATACAGCAACTACATCACGTCAATTGCAAATTAATGATTCTGCATATAATGTGACAAGAACTGATCTTTTGCAAGAGTCAAATGAAGTATTTGAACTTCCATATAAAGACTTCAATTTGTTTAGGAGTGCACGAAAATTGTTTGAAAAACAATTTACAAATGATAGTTTTGGCTATGTATGCTTTGTGTGTGATCGACTTTGGTTTCAAAGTGACTTAAAAATATTAAATGAAGCTCAAAAACAATTTCTTAATTATGGTTTTCTGAATATTGTCGAAAGGCATTAAATTTGGGTGAAATTCCCACTTTGTGTAAATTTAACGGGTTTGTATTTCCACATATACCAAATTATCTACCTAAACTAGATAATGTATCTGAAAGATTAATTTTACCTTGGTTGTGTTTCATGAAAATTAGACGATTGCGACATGCAAATGGACAACTTGGAATATTCGGCCAAATTATAAGTATGGTTAACTTATTACCTCGTAATATTGGTGATTATTGCATTAACGTTCACATAAAAAAGCAAATGGTTCATAGATCAAGCTATGTGCAGGGCTTGATAAATAAAACAAATATAAAAGTATGGCTTCAATTTTTTAGGCAAGACAGATAGTACAGCGGTTCAAGGAATGAGATTATATCGTCAGCGAAAACAATACAAACAGTAAATGAATGTATGTTAATTTTAATTACATGAAGTTCTTCAAACACAATTGTTACAGGATGAGTTAATTTGCAAAAGCAATATTTGTTTAGGCGTTGTTTAACATAATCCACTGTGTGAACAAATGTTATAGAATTTATTAATCAGCAATTACTTCATTTCTCTAATGAATTTTTATTTCTGAAAGCTAATTACAATGACAAACTGATCGTGTCGTTTTTGAAGTATGACCTTGATTACATTATTGTTTTTAAATGTTATACATATTTTTAATGCTATTATAAATATATAATTTATAATTTATCATTATATAAATGCGTATAATGGTTGGCACTAATAAATGTGTGCATCACGAGTGTTACCATATTACTGATGAACATTATTCAAAATTGTTATATGATGAATTTATTTTTACTTAAATGCCATCTTGTACAGTAGCAAATAAGTTTTACTTCAATCGCGTGTGATCCTTATGTGCACTCTTTTTTTTAGCAAACATCATCGTACACCAAGGCGTTCCCAGACCTCAAGGGCATCATCTTGCAAATCGACACAATTCGATACTTGTGCCATAAAGTCTGCAACTGCAGTATGTTCTCATCGATGCAGTACAACCAATAAATTCTTTAGGCAATGTACAGGAAATAATGAATCTCCAGAGGATGAAAATGTTGACAATAGAAGTCCTGATGTCTATTGCAGGAAGCACCAAGATAAATATGATCAAGATAAGGCAAAAAGCAAAGAGAAGCTCGAAAAAAAGAAGAGCAAATGCAGTGACAAAAGTGTCGTCCTTGTCGATTTGAAACCAAGTAAAAAATCTGATAGCACCTGCTGTGGAAGTGTCATGAGAGTAGCAGGAGGTACACCTAAATTTTATCTCAACTAGGGTTTATACAAAAACCGATATTTCACAAAACCGGTTTTCGAATTTTAATTTTACTACAAAACCGGTTTTAACCGGTTTTCGAATTTTATATAGAAAATAAATTTTTGCTCGAACATTCTGTAATTTATCTGCAAATTTAGTGTAATTTAGAGTAGTATTTGACGGAATTTATTTATTGTTCAATTTTCTAGATAGTAAACAAAATTATTTTAATTTTAATTAGTAGAACTAAAACATAATAGTTTATCTTGATTAAATAACTATGAAAATAATTATTCGTTATTCATGCATCATTTTCACATATAACAATGAAAATATTTTTATGATAGTGAAAGTAAAGTTTTCGAATAAATAAAAATAATACATTTTTAAATAAAAAAAAATCATTAAATAAAAAAAATAAAAAAATATCAGATACATGTTGATACATACTAGGGTTTGTCAGTTTTCAAAAACCGGTTTTAAAAACCGTTTTTTTGGCGAAAATTATGGAATTCGAAAACCGGTTTTTTAGTGAAAAAGTCGGTTTTTACTGTATATGTGGAAAATGATAAATATAGCCAAATATAAAAGATAGATGAAAGCGTTTTGATTCTTGAAATCATATCGGTTCAATAGCATTTCATATCTTATAAATTTGCCATGGTTCCCAGAAAGGTTTTGTATATATTAATTTAGATTTTTATACCAGTGTATATATTAATATAAATCAGTGTGACTTCTTCTTTAAGAAGTAACTTTCTCTGCTCAAACTTAAAAAAAGAGTTTTAAACCCTAGAAGCCACAAATTAAAGAACAAAAAACTTAGAATTAGAAAAACTTAATCGTTTTTAAAACTAAAATTGATATTAACAAGTATAAGGTTGTCAAATATCTCCCTTCCGCCTTTTTGTATTATAAACCAAGAGCAAACAAGCGGAAGGGAGATATTTGACTACCTAATATGTATAAACATGTATCTAATATTTTTTTTATTTTTTTTTATTTAATGAATTTTTTTTATTTAAAAATATATTATTTTTATTTATTCGAAAACTTTCCTTTCACTATCATAAAAATATTTTCATTCTTATATGTGAAAATGATGCATGAATAACGAATAATTATTTTCAAAGTTATTTAATCAAGATAAACTATTATTTTTTAGTTATACTAATTAAAATTAAAATAATTTTGTTTACTATCCATAAAATTGAACAATAAATAAATTCAGTCAAATACTGCTCTAAATTACACTAAATTTGCGGATAAATTACAGAATATTTAAGCAAAAATTTATTTTCGGTATAAAATTCGAAAACCGGTTAAACCCGTTTTTTTGGTAAAATTGCAATTCGAAAACCGGTTTTCTGAAATGTCGGTTTTTGTATAAACCCTAGTTGATACATACTTGTTAATATCAATTTTAGTTTCAAAAACAATTAAGCTAAACAACTATTTCTGTTCCGAGCAATTTTAATTAATTAATTTCAAACATTCTAATTGTTTTTTTTTTGTTTAATAAAATATAATTTAAAAAAATTCAGAACGTCTATCGATTTGCTACTTAGACGTGTCCTTTGTTTACTCACAAAATTTCCTGAAATAGAAAATACTCTCATACTTGAGACCAAATTATGCTTAATTGTTTTTAAAGCCTGATATAATAATTCCAAGTTTTTTGTTATTTAATTTGTGGCTTCTAGGGTTTAAAACTCTTTTTTTAAGTTTGAGTAGAGGAAGTTGATTCTTCAAGAAAAAGTCACACTGATTTAAATTAATATATACACTGGTATAAAAATCTAAATCAATATATAAAAAACCTTTCTGGGAACCATTGCAGTCTGGTAAGATATCAAATGCTATTGAAACGATATGATTTCAAGAATCGAAACGCTTTTATATTTGGCTATATTTGTCATTTTCCATATATACAGTAAAACCGACTTTTTTCACTAAAAAACCGGTTTTCGAATTACATAATTTTCACAAAAAACCGGTTTTTAAAACCGGTTTTTGAAAAGCGACAAACCCTATACATAAATCATTCAATATTTCAGGTACTGAACAGTATTCTGTAAGCAAAGGTTGTTCCTTGATCATGACACCAGATTCCTTGCCTGGTTACATCGGACATCCTGATAATCCTGGTCAAGCCGAAGCATGCAAGTGTCCTATACGACAAATCCCAGAAACACCTTCTTGCGATCACCAGATAATCCTGGACGCCACTGCGTTGAAGAAAATGCTAGACTTGTTACCAAAGTAAGAATAATGATAATGACTAGTGGTGTATGGCATCGAGCCTTAAGGCAAATTGCTGGAACTTCCCGTACCGTAATTAAACATTCGAAGAATTAGAATAATCAATAGTTGTTTTTAATAATTTCAAATAGATTATTTATTACATACTGTAAACTTATAAGCGTTTTTTAAATTGGGCGACCAGCGTCGTTTATAAAAAACTTATGTTCACAAGAGGATGGACATTTTTTTGGTTTTTGTCAAATAACTCACAAATTTCATATGGAATCACCCCTTTTCAGTTAGATAGGGTGAAACTAGATAAAATTTACAACTTTTCCTAGGAAACACTTTTATACACTCCGATATAAAAGTTTTGAATAAAACGACTTTGAATTTGATATTTCATTATTTAGCACAATAATGAAACGTCCACGTCAAATGTTTACAAGAGCTCATTTTTTTAAATTAGATTTTTTTGATATTTTAGAAATATTTTGATAATTTAGACATCTTTTTAGAAGGTTGAATTTTTTTGGAATTTAAAAAAAAAAAGTTTTTTCTAAATGTTTTGAAAATTTGGAAATTTTTGTAAATATTCGATTTTTTTTTTGAAATAATCGAAATATTCTTAAATTTTGTTAAGAGAATTTCGAAAATATGAGTTTTTTAAAACTTGGTTTTTTTTTGAAAATTTTCAAAATAATTAAATTTTCTGTAAATGCATTTTTTGCACACCGTCTACTCAAGCAAAATGTTTTTTGAATTAATCTAATTGGATGATCCGTTCTCTCAAAAACTGCATAACCGTTTTTACACCCTTTGCGCTCCATACCTCCGAAACGGCAAAATTGCCTTTTGCAAAAACGCCTCGCGATCGAGTACGAACCGAATGATTTTTCAATTTTATAAATCGGTTATTCCATATTGTCGAGAACATTATTTGAACCATATGCGTGAATTTTAAAATTATCTAGTGATGTATTGTATCGTGCCCTAAGACAAATTGCTGGAACTTCCCGTACCATAATGAAATATTCGAGAAATTTTAAACGTTTTCAAATATATTATCACAAATACTGTAACTTTCATTATTTTTGCTATCTTGTTATATCTGAGCAAATCAAATGTAAATCATAAATCAATTTATCTCCAGAACTTTAACAATCGTCATTTCGTTTCGAATTCAAATAAAAAAAAAGTTGTTTAATTTACACAAAATTGAAAAAGTGCTCCCGTATAGTCACAGTCTAAACGCATTTGCAAATAATTCTGTGCGACATTTTCACTTATACTGTGCTTAGCTTGACGGCATTTTCACATTTTTCAATAGTTTTCTCACAAAATTGGAAAAGTGCTCCCTACATAAACAGTCTAAACGCACTTGGGTAAACATTTGTACCAGAGTTAGAGCTTAGACTGTGCTTAGCCTGGGTAATTTTTTGAATTTTTTAATCCAAAGTTACAACAATATTTTATGAAAAATAAAAAAAGATGTAATAATCTTTTATCCTCAAAAGCAATTGTTTTGTCAATACAAGCAGAAAGTGTTTTAGATCATTCGAATCGGACTCTTAGTTCACTCAAAAACTGCCATTTTTTGCACATTTAGCTCTGTATCTCCGAAACCGCTGGACCTGCCTTTGCCAAAAACTAATAATAGACAATTTGGTTCTTGAATAATGTTTGAATATTTTTTTGCAGAAAACCCAGTGAAAGTATTTTGAAGTCTCCAAAAGTCCCAGAAGTGCCTCCTAAAATCACGACAAGCGTCGGATGTCAACCAGATCCTGAATCTGACCACGTGGTGTATCCTTCTGCACTTCAGAAATATTATTGCAAGGATAAGGAAAAAAAGAAGTACAACGTTACTTTGTCGCCGGATAAAAGTTGCTTTTCGGATAAGTCTTGGGAGAAATATTTGGAAAAATTGGGGAACACTTGTGCCAAAACACCGGCGCATAGGGTTAACGAAGGTGCTGAATACAGCAGCAGACAGTATACTAGAAAACAAGAATGGTAAGTTGAGTTTGATTTTTTTTATTTTTTACTCTCTAGGTACCAAAATGTCCATGCATGTGCAAGACAAATCTATAGATGACTCAAAATGTAACCATTAGTTATAATTTGATTTAGGAAATGCAATACCGATGAAAAATTTCAATACCGGTATTTCGGTAATTTTTCATTTTAAAACCGGAATACAGGTAAATTACCGGAAGTTTTATTATCTTAAACAAATGTAAACAATATTGAAAGTTACTAGTACAAATATAAAAAAATGTATATACAACTACAACTATATTCAACTAAACAATAAAAACAATAAAATAAAACAATAAGTTTATTTTTTTAAATAATAATTTAACAAAAATATATGCAATTTAACTAATTCATTATCACCATCGAGTATATTGAGTCTTTTCACCAAAAACAAACTTATGAGTAAGAAAAACCAAAAACTCATAAAATATCATAATTAATAAACTGTATTGTCTGTATCCGATGTGTTAAATTAGCATAATCTACAATATTTTAAAAAAATAATTTTTCTACACTAGTTTAAGATCGGATTCTTTGTCGAGATAAATAATAAGTTACTATAATTGTTGAGTATTGTTATTTAAAACAATATGATGCTTCTATAGTATTTTCAAACTTCGAAACGTTTTCGAAAAATAATATTTTATAATTGTGATAAGAAGCAAAAATATTTAGTAGTTATCATAATTATTACGTATAAAGATAAAAAAAATAAAGTCTACGCAGGGGTAATCTATATGACATAAAATATTTTGGCGGAAATATATCACTTAAAAAGTCAGTATATTTTTACAAAAGTTGAAACAAACATCATTATCTATCAGTCCAATTTTATTTATTGTAATACGATATGAAGCCCTTTGGAAAGCAATAAATATTCAGTTTAATGACGAGTTGAGATAATATTTGACATTTGTTTATCTTATAGAATCGCTTGAAGATACAGCTGTTTATGCGATTATGGAATTTAAAGATAAATTTGTTCCGAGAAATTTAAACTTTAGGGTATTATGTATCAAATAGCGCTTACGTAAAAATACCGAAAATACCGGTATTTTTGGAATAAATACCGGTAAAAATACCACCGAAAAATTGGGCGGTTTACCGGTAATTCAGTATACCGGTATGCCGGTATTGCATTCCCTAATTTGATTGATTCATCTAAGTCCATGTGTCAAAATTTCCAACGATAGGCAAGATTATGAGTAAATTTGATTTATTTATACGTTGCTTTAACAATTCAATTGTTTTGTTAATCTCTAGGTACCAAAATGTCCATACATGTGCAAGACAGATCTATAAATAACTTAAATTATAACCATTGGTCATAATATACTTATCTCTATGTGTCACAATTATCTACGATAGACAAGATGATGAAAAAATGGTTCTTTATTGGATAATGTAGTCAATTAATTGATCTCCTGATACCACACTTACTAAACATGTGCAAGACTGTTCACTAGTTTTATGAATAACTTGATCAGGTTATAATTTGATCGATTTATCTATCTGGATGGGTCAAAATTTTTAACAAAAAGCAATATGGTGATTAAATTTTGCTTACTGGGTCGTTCCATTTATAATGGTAATGATCTAAGTGCCAAAATTAACATGTCCAGGATCTTTTATCGATCCTATTAATAATTATTCATGAGATATAATTTGATTCATCAATCTCCAACGTGCAACGATGTGCAAGATGATGGATAAATTTTATTCGTAATGGTTCTTTCTTATATAATTCAATCAATTTATCATTATGCAAGTACTACTCGCAAAGATTTACAAAACAGTGAATACATTTTATTCATAAGGATTTAAGATTTATTAATCTCTATGATAACCTTTTATAAGTAATAATGGTTTTAGTAACAATTTACAAGGCTCTTTTGATCTTCATTAACTTCCCATAGGGTAGTTATAGTAATGGGCCGAAAATCGAAAATGAAAATTTTTGATTAGTTTTGAAGGTTTCTGAACATTTTGACATAACTCAGAAGGAGAACCCGCCGCTTTGCTCGTCTCGGTTTTTGATGAAACTTGGCACAATGGTAGATTTGATGCCTGACTGACCGTGGTAAAATATTAGAGGCCTATGAAAAGCGGTTCAATTATAAAAGTTAATTAAAGTTTGCATTTTAGCAGCGCGCGGCAATGCATTTCCTTATCATTTGCAGATTGGCCGAGTGGCTATCGTCGTGGAATTCTAATTTTTGCTCCGGGGTTCAATTCCCGATTCAGATTTAATATTTTTTATTATTTTGTTTGATATTTATAATTTCACGTGAAAATAATTTCAACATTTATTTGAGTTTTGAGTTTTATTAACTTCCCGTAGGGCAAGTTATAGTAATCGCAAAAAAATCGAAAATGAAAATTTTTGCATTTCTCGACGTTTCAAAGGTTTCTGAATATTTTGGCATACCTTAGAAAAAATGGATGTATGTGTGTGTGTGTGTGTGTGTGTGTATGTGTGCGTGTGTGTATGTATGTGCGGATACAAATTTTCGTCGACGATTTCGGGAACACCGATCAACCGATTTGAATAATTCAAAAAACATTCGATTCGTATTGATAAGGAGACGTGCTGATTAGTTTTTGGCAAAGTCAGGTCTAGCCGTTCCGAAGATACGGGGCAATGAGTATCAAAAAAGGGAACTCAGTTTTTAAGAGAACGGAGCGTCCGATTTGAATAATTCAAAAAACATTTTACTTGTATTGACAAGGTGAAGAACCGATCAAATTTTCATAGAGGCAGGTTTAGCAGTTTCGGAGATCTAATGAGAAAAGTAAAAAAAAAATGCCATTTGGCGGTCTAAAAATGATCATTAGACATATGCACATCAAATTATCAGATATTTTATAGAGATTTTAACAATAAGTATAATTTTGGTTTACATTCCTATGGGTTCCGTACCAATGTTTACGCGTTAGACGTCGACGCGGCGCTTACGCGGTTTGATATTTCGTCTTTATGCAGTTAAAGCAGTACGATTGCTTTGAAAAAAAGTTTAGATCTTTCAAAATATGTCAAAATAAAGAAAACATTTTTTTCGAAAAAAAAAATTAAAAAAAAAATTTTTTTTCAAAAAAAAGTAAATTTTTGTCTAATTTTTTGTCAAAAATCTAATTTATAGTTTATAGTTTCTCAAAAATCTAATTTTTTCGAAGTAAATTTTTTTCAAAAATGTTAATCGTTTTTAAAAAAATAATAATTTTTGGTACGGGTAGTTCCAGCAATTTGCCTTAAGGCACGATGCCTTAATTGCCTGAAGACAGAATTCCACTTACAGCTAGTTTGAATTTTATATTTTTCGCCAAATATTCCATAATGAAGTCCTCCGTAACACATGTTAATTTTTATTATGACATTACTTATGAAACTTACCATATAAATGTTAAGTGATTCCTGAAACATTATAATTTTGTATTAATAACAACAATAATACGGAAGAGGAGATATTATTCGTTTCCATATAAAAAACTATGTTCAAATTTACAATTGTGGTGATTGTACTGGCGATTGTAAAAACAAAAAAACATAAAAACTGCAGTGAATAAATTTTATTAATAATGTTTTCAAGCTATATGTCAAAAAGAATTTTTTTATTAAAATTAGATTCTTGGGCTTTATAGTTTTTTATATGGAAATAATAGATGTGTGTGTGCGTGTGTGTATTTTGTATGTCCGCATTTTTTCGTCCACGTTTTCGGGCGCACGGATCAATCAATTTGAATGGTTCAAAAATTATTCGATTCCTATTGATAGGGAGATGTGTCGATTAGTTTTTGGCAAAGGCAGGTCTAGCCGTTACGGAGATACGAAGCAAAGGGTGCAGAAAATAGAAATCGAGCTTTTGAGAGAACGGATCATCGGATTGATTTGTCTGGCAGTACAGTTCCTTTTTTATAGTCCTTGGTTCTAATAATTGTAATTTTATCATCTTTAGCAACTTTTTCAAAACTAGATTTGGTTTGCTCGTCAGTAGAGTACTATTTTACTTTAAAAAAACGAATTTGCTTGTCAGTAGAGTTCCTTTTCTTAGAGTGCTTCTGATCCAACTTAATTATAATCAAATTACTAAAATAATTGTGATTATATCAATTGCTTTAGGAACCTTTTCGAAACAAGATTCGGTTTGCTCGTCACTAGAGTTCTTTTTTACTTTTTTAAAATCGAGTTTGCTCGTCAGTATAGTTTCCTTTTTAGTAGAGTCCTTGCTACTGATCAGAAAAATAATAATTGTGAATTGTTTCAGTTACTTTTACAAACTTTTACAAAATTTGATTCGGTTTGCTCGTCAGTAGAGTTCTTTATTACTTTTATGAAATCGAGTCTGTCAGTAGAGTTCCTTTTTTAGAATCCTTGTGTATGATTTGCACAAAAATGATAATTGTAAATTTTTTTATTGACTTCAGCAACTTTTTTCAAAACTAGATTTGGTTTTCTCCTACTTTTTAAATCGTATTTGCTCGTCAGTAGAGTTCTTTTTTTAGAGTCTTTGCTTCTGATCCGCACAAAAATGATAAAATCTAGGATCAATTTGCTCGTCAGTAGAGTTCTATTCTATTTTACTATAATCGAGTTTGCTCGTCAGTAGAGTTCCTTTTTGCTTAGTCTTTGCTTCTGATCCAAACCACGCAAAAATGGTAATTTTTAACTTTCCGTAGGGTAGTTATAGTAATAGGCCGAAAATCGTAAATGAAAATTTTTACATTTCTCGACGTTTCGAAGGTTTCTGAACATTTTTAAGGAGCATACCTCAGAAAAAATGGATGTGTGTGTGTATGATCAACCGATTTGAATGGTTTAAAAAAAATTCGATCCCTATTGACAGGGAGATGTGCTGATTAGTTTTTGGCAAAAGTAGGTCCAGCCGTTACGGAGATTCGGAGCAAAGAGTGCAAAAAATACAAATCGAGTTTTTGAGAGAACCGAGTATCAAATTTAAATGATCTAAATAACATTCAATCTGTAATGATAGGGAGATGTGGTGATTAATTTTTGGCAAAGACAGGTCCCGCCATTTCGGAGATACAGAGCTAAATGTGCAAAAAATGGCAGTTTTTGAATGAACTAAGCGTCCGATTTGAATGATCTAAAAAACTTTCTGCTTGTATTGACAAAACAATTGCTTTTGAGGTTAAAAAATTATTACATCTTTTTTTATTTTCCATAAAATATTTTTGTAATTTTGAATTAAAAATTCAAATAAAAAAATTACCCAGGCTAAGCACAGTCTAAACGCCACTCTGGTACAAATGTTTACCCAGGTGCGTTGAGACTGTTTTATACTGTAGCACTTTTCCAATTTTGTGTGAAAACTATTGAACAATGTGAAAATGCCGCCAAGCTAAGTACAGTATAAGTGAAAATGTCGCACAGAATTATTTGCAAATGCGTTTAGACTGTGACTATACGGGAGCACTTTTCAGGGGCGTAGCGTGCCCCCGTATCAAAATTTGTTTGGGAGGGCCCTTAAAAGGAGATTTTTTTTTTACAAAATATAAAATTGAAAGATTATTTATTTATTATTCTAATTATTTATCTATCTAATTGCCTCTAATTTTCTGAATTTTTCACAAATGATTCCAGATATATATTCACTCTCCTTGCCTGTTTTCGAAAAACAATTATTAAGTGATCCTTGGATTTTCTAAAGTTTCTATCTATAGAAACAATAGTGACATCTCTGATAGACGTTTCTGTCTTAAAGTTTTTACGTAATTTTTAATTAGTTTTAATTTTGAAAAATTTGTTTTATCCGATTGCAACTGGGATCCAAGAATAAAATGCATACTGTTATTACTTCGGGAAAACTAGATGCAAGTCTATTGCATCCATTATTGTGCCTTAATGAAATAAATTTCTTAGATTTCTGTATTTAAACCTGCTTGTAGAATCGACAGATGGTTTTGCGAAAACGTTTAATAATTCTCGATTTCAAAAAGACAAAAGTTACTACCTACGTCGCAAAGGTTTTGAAATCTTTGTTTGGTTTATGAAATTAATATATTAAAATAGCAACAGTATTTATTTAAAAAATCATCGTTTTACTTTCTGCTTATGCTAGTTGGGGGCCCCGTATTTTTGATACGGCTGATATGGCCCTGGCACTTTTTCAATTTTGTGTAAACTATTTAGGCAACTTTTTTTTTTGAAATTGAATCCGAAATGAAATGACGATTGTTATTGTTCTGGAGATAAATTGATTTACTCGTATGATTTATATTTGATTTGCTCATCAGATATAACAAGGTAGCAAAAATAATGAAAGTTACAATATTTGCAATAATATATTTATAAATTTCTCGAATATTTCATTACGGTCCAGGGAAGTTCCAGCAATTTGCCTTAAGGCACGATGCCATACACCACCACTAGTTACCAATTTGTTTTTTCCTCCAGGCCCGGTGCAAAAGTGCGTCTCCAGCAGCACGTCACCCACTTTCAGAGATCTCCGAAGGAATCTCCGCACCAGCATTTTGCTCCTCAACCTCGACCAAGTTCCAGAAAGGACAGAGGTTGTTCGAAAAGGAATTATTATCCGGAAAAAGAGACTAAATTCAATTTTAGCAATTATTTGCATGGTGAATACCACGATAAACCGAGACAACGACATCCTCCGAAACCTTTTGACGAAGATGCGCTCCTGAGGAGACTGAATTTGGTCGCTTTTAGAAGGAAACGCGGAAAAAGGGTAAGGGTAATAGTCGTATCTAATTTTGTATTTATATACTTACTAGCTGACCCGGCAAACGTTGTTTTGCTAAGTAAGGTATGTTCTGAACAGTTTCTAGAGAATCAAAAATATTAATACTTTAAGTGTATAAGGATGCGTTGTTTGAATGCTATATACAACGAGTTATTATAAAAACAATAAACCCCATTAGTTTGTAGTCTATATTTCATTAATACAATCAAACTAGATACATTTTCTATAACATGGTGTACTTCAATCCATGTCTTTTTTGATCTTTCGACTTATTGATTACGTTTCAAGTTTTTCAGATTCTTTTTGAATTCTGGATTTTGTTTATTATTGTAAATAATACTACTGAGCTTATACAAAATTTTCAAATTTTTGCGAGGAGAGATAGAAAATGAATTAAGTATTTCTTCTTTGACCTGCTTTTTGAAAAGTTTCAAGTAACATTCGATGAATTAAAGTAAATTTAATAAAAAGTATATATGTAGAGCAGGACGAGGCACGACGGTCCAATTTGACTTTGAGCAAATATTAATTATATTATAAAAATCAAACCAATTATACGAGCTACTGTCAGCTACTTCATGATTGTAGAAATGTGCTTTTTTGATGTCTAACAAAAATTTGTTATCTAGATCTTTTTACCCCAGGTGGCAAACAGGTTTAATGTCTTATTTTAATTTTAAAGGTATTTTACAAAATAATTACATTTTTAACTAATGCTAAAAAACTACCAACGGAAGAAAATACTTTTATTATGGATTTTCAAAGATTACCGTTTATCTCCCGAAAGCAAAGTCATGAGAATCAAGATTATAGTTGGTTATACATCTTTTTCCCTCTGCGTTCAAATATTGTTGTTAAGCAATGCTTAACTTTACTGGTTGGTGGTGGACCTTTTTAACCCCGGACCTTCATATTTTACTATCTATTCTTTGATAAATTCTGGGAAATTATAACTGGGAAAATGTTATTCGACAAAATGTCCCTTTGGTCGATTCCATTTTGAAAAATATTATAAACAAGTATAAACTAAATTCACTAAATCCTATTTTGGTAATGTAGTTACTAATTATTAGCTTTCGAATTAAACACAATATTCTGTTTCACAAGTAACACAGTTTTCGTAAACAAGACCCAGAAGAAACGAAAATGGACCAAGGACTGATCCTTGAGGAACACCCATTTTGATATTTAACTTTAGAACATCGCTGTGCGTTAAGTAAAATTTAATAACAATATTTAATTATTATTTAATCAAATAAATAACATCATCTCTTAATATTTCGCCCAATCTTTAATCTGTGAACAGGCTCAATGTATTACACTAGCTGACCCGGCAAACGTTGTCTTGCTAAGTAAGGTATATTTTGAACGGGAAAATGTTATTCGATAAAATGCCCCTCTAGATCGATACCAAATTTAGGTTCTGAATTTAAATAACATAAATAAAAAATATATAACCTAAAAAATGTTTTATAAATAGCAATGAGTATATAATTATACAAATGAGATCTTTCGGAGCACCGTGTTTGAGAAAAATATGATTTGCAAAAAAGAGTGCTACAACTTATATTTTATATTTTTATAATTAATTAAATATTTTTATAATTTAGTACACATATTAAGAAATAACATACTAAAATTTTGTAACTGTAGTATAACTTTTTATATTTTTAAATATTTTTCAAAATATTCATCAAACCGTGGACTTGCAACTATTGCAAGAGTGCATTCGTTTACAAAATTGCACATTTATAGCTTTTTTTGTTAGAAATATGTATGATTTTATATTTTTATAATTTAGTACACATATTAAGAAATAACATACTTACATTTCATAGCTCTAGTATAATATTTTATATTTTTAAAACATTTTTCAAAAGTACTTCTCATATCATATCCAACCGTCCATTCGCAACTAATAAAAATAGATTATGCAAGTGTGCATTGCAATTTTTTAGTTTCTTCTGTTAGAAACTTATTTGATTTTATATTTTTATAATTAAGTACACATATTAAGAAATAACATACTATAATTTTATAACTGTATTATAACGCTTTATATTTTCAAAATATATTTTAAGCCGTCAATTTGTTTACATCAAATAACGTTTTTGTATATAACTACAAACAAAACTACTTACTACAATTGAATCATAATTAAATAATATTCACTTAAAACATCCTATTAAACGTAATCGAAATCTATCATCTATCAAAAACGTTTGACATTTGACATTTGACGTATTAGCCACCGTCGATTGTTTTATTCAAATTACGCTTCTACAAAAACTTTCAAATTAAAAATGTAAAGTTTATACGCGACTTTGGAATAATATCTCACCTTTCCGGCAACCTACTAATTATCACTCACTCATTCAAGACTGGCCAAATCGGTTTAGCCGTTTTCGAGTTCTAGCGGATCATTTGATCGAGAACTCCATTTTTATATATAAGATAATTTATGTATTTTTTATCCCAGAGTGGTAAGACCTATACAGCCTATGCAATTTCTTCGACGACAACCGAAGAAACATCAACAACCACTACGACCAGTAATAATACGACTACGACCGACACTACGGCTACCACTTCGAGTACTTCTTTGGGCGAAGTAGGAGGAGGCTGTAGAAGGTTTTCAGGGTCCGAAGAGGGCGAGACGCTGAGCGTTGGAGAGATTCGTGGCAGGTTCAGGAGGATCGTATGAAAGAGGTAATAGAAAAAAAAATATTTAGATTGAAATAATTATTATGGATATGATAATGAAACGAAAAATCGGTTAATATATAATAATTATAATAATTATTATTATTATTTAAGTGATTGAAACGAAGATCTCCGTGTGAAAACTGTCAATTTTTTATATTTTTATTATAAATTTTGTACGATGTATATACTATATATTATATTTTTTGTATTTTGTACTTTGGAGTAGATTGCGTTTTATTTATTAATATATATATACTAGCAAACCCGACGAACTCCGTTTCGCCACCAGATGGTTTCGTGAGAAAGATGAAGAAATTTTTTGTTTGTTTTATATTTCAAAAGAAAAATTTGATTCTATTACACAATAGTAATGAATTTATTTCGATTACAAAAATGAAGTGTTTTTTAGTTGAACTTCTCTAAGTAAATCTGAAAGTGAATCCGCAAATTATCCGTTTCATTGAAGTGTTCTTTGGTAAACCACATTTTTTGTTTTTTGGTCTGACGTTAACACAAACAAAGCGGATGGTTTTTCAACTCGTGAACAGGCAACGTATAACTGCCCATGTGAAAAACAATGATTTTCTAAATAATCTATTTGAAATTTATCCCGCAAACCCTAAGCGATTGGCCTTGAGACTTGTTATTGCGAACTGGAAATTGCAATCGTTTGAAGTCAAACGGAAGACCAGTCGGAATCATTGGTATGTCACCAAATCGCCAGCAATTTTTGATTGAATGGTGAAATTCAGTGCGTGTACATTACTATTCTTTGCGGCAAGAATTGCTCGTTCACTTAACCAAGCATAATTCTGATAACTCTCATTAATGTCATTATTCGAATTTTTAATTACGGTGCGTGAAGTTCCAGCAATTTGCATTAAGGCACGATGCCATGCGCCACTAATTATCTTAGCTATAAACCTTGCGAAGCCCGAAACCTTTCCAACGAATGCAAAACCCGACTTATTTTTATTTATATGTAGATAATTTTACAAACGTTTCGAGACTAGGTTTGTCTCATCATCAGTGTATTATAATTTAAAATCTAAAATGTGGAAACCTAAATTAGCATTATGTGTTATCCGTTACAAGTCGTTCATTATACTGCCCCACCAACCATCGTCGGAGTCTGAATTCTTTATCCAAGATCAACTTGATGAGTCACGAAATATTAAATAGGAAAGAGAAGGTATAGACCCTAGTTGAAAAATAGATGTCGCTAGGAGAAAAAATATGAAAGGAAACGGTCCGTTTATAAAAATTGTTTTAAATTATTATAATTTGAAATATATGTACATAGAAATATTTTTTATTGCTGAACAAATTTGGCGGGCCGGCTAGTATATATATATATATATACTAGCCGGTCCGCCAAATTTGTTCATCAATAAAAAATATTTCTAGAAAAAAATTTAGTACAAAAAGCACTTAACTAACTGATTGTGAATGCGGTAGTATGTCGTTTAAGAGAAGGGATTCTACTAACGAGCAAACTAAATTTTGAGCTGGAATATTAAAAAGGGACTCTACTGACGAACAAATTAAAGCAAAAAGGAACTCTACTGACGAGCAAAATAAAAAACAGGACTCTACTGATGAGCAAAATATAACTAAAAGTTCAGGACTCTTAATTTTGTTATAGTAAATCAGAAAAAGGGCGAGCAAATTTAAATTTGATCTAGAATATTAAAAAGGAACTCTACTGACGAGAAAATTTCAATTTTGATCCAGAAGATTAAAGAAAGGAACCCTACTGAAAAGCAAACAAAATTTTGATGCAGAAAATTTAACAATAGACTATACTGACGAACAAATTTAAATTTTTTTGATCTACAAGATTTAAAAAGGACTCTACTGACAAGCAAAATTTAATTTTGATCCAGAAAATTAATAAATACTATAATCAAAATTTTAATAGACAAACAATCTAAATTTTAAACCAGAAAATTTAAAAAGAGACTCAACTGTTGAGCAAAATTAAACAAAAAAGGAACTCTACTGACCAGCAAAATAAAACTAAAAATTAGAAGACTCTTATTTTGATTATTAGATAAAAAAGGGACTCTACTGACGAGCAAACTAAATTTGATCTACAACATTAAAAAAGAGACTCTACTAGCGAACAAATTAAAATAAAAAGGAACTCTACTGACCAGCAAAATTAAAAATATACTAAAAACGAGCAAAATAAAACTAAAAATTCAAGACTTTTAATTTTCATATAGTAAATCCAGAAGATAAAAAAGGACTCTACTGACGAACAAATTAAAGAAAATAGAAACTCTACTGACCAGCAAATTAAAACTAAAAATTCAAGACTCTTAATTTTGAAACAGTAAATTAGAAAAAGGGACTCTACTGACGAGCAAACTAAATTTTGATCTAAAAGAATAAAAAGGATTCTACTGACGAGTGAACTAAATTTTGATCTAGAAGATTAAATAGGGACTCTACTGACGAGCAAACTAAATTTGGATCTAGAAGAATAAAAAGGGACTCTACTGGGGAAGAATAAAAAGGGACTTTAGGGAGCAAACTAAATTTTGATCTAGAAGAATAAAAAGGAACTCTACTGTCGAGCAAACTAAATTTTGATCTAGAAGAATAAAAAGGACTCTACTGACGAGCAAACTAAATTTTGATCTAGAAGAATAAAAAAGGACTCTACTGACGAGCAAACTAAATTTTGATCTAGAAGAATAAAAAGAGACTCTACTGACGAGCAAACTAAATTTTGATTTAGAAGAATAAAAAGGACTCTACTGACGAGCAAACTAAATTTTAATTTAGAAGAATAAAAAGGACTCTACTGACGAGCAAACTAAATTATGATCTAGAAGAATAAAAAGGAACTCTACTGTCGAGCAAACTAAATTTTGATCTAGAAGAATAAAAAGGACTCTACTGACGAGCAAACTAAATTTTGATCTAGAAGAATAAAAAAGGACTCTACTGACGAGCAAACTAAATTTTGATCTAGAAGAATAAAAAGAGACTCTACTGACGAGCAAACTAAATTTTGATTTAGAAGAATAAAAAGGACTCTACTGACGAGCAAACTAAATTTTAATTTAGAAGAATAAAAAGGACTCTACTGACGAGCAAACTAAATTATGATCTAGAAGAATAAAAAGGAACTCTACTGACGAGCAAACTAAATTTTAATTTAGAAGAATGAAAAAGGACTCTACTGACGAGCAAACTAAATTTTGATCTAGAAGAATAAGAAGGACTCTACTGACGAGCAAAACCAAAAAATATCCCGAAATTTATTTTAATTGCTATATAATGAAATATCGAATTCAAAGTCGTTTTATTCAAAACGTTCTTTAATGTTTATAAACAAATTAAGTCTCATATAACAATTTATTATTAAATTAATATTATTTCTATCTAATGTGGCATAAACCAAAGAAAAATCAAAAATATTAAAACACAAAATCCATCAATTTGTACACCCGCCAAGTCTGCAAAATAATTTTCTGTCGCAGGAGTAACATGTTCTTTGCGATTGAAAAAATCGAAATCTGGAAAAATATTATAAAATATATTTATATTAATTAATAACAAATTAGTAAAAGACTCTTGGTTTAATTATGGACCTGTTTTTTTGTTTTTTTGAGCCTCTGGTTTGCAAATTTCTTCACTAATAACATTTTCTTGTAGATTGTCGTTTATGGAAGTTGTTATCTGGGGAAGAAAAATTAATAAAAATGGTAAAATAAATAAATAATTAATAATTTCTTAGGTGTTTTAGATACAAAATTATTTGAATTGTTATATGTAACTTTTAATTTAAAAACACAAACGAAATATTTTCACCAAAAAATTACCAAAATTAATAATCATTTTTTTTAATAAAATTTTTATCATGTATTTATTTATTGTAACTCTTGTAACTTCTGAAACGTTTGTCTAAACTAAGTGGTATATTTGGCAAATTTGTTCAAAATTCAACAATTAATAATATTTTCTAACATTATAAGACCCTACAGCAACTCGGTATACATTAAAATTAAGTTTAAAATTCGATAATGCAAAAACTTTTTTTGCTATGCATTTTTTATTGTAATAATTTTTTTGATGAGAATAAAATCTGAAACAATATAAATTAAAGAAGATAATTCGAAAGTTATATCTAATATACAATATATAAATAACAATAAAATTAATAAGTTAAATTTAAAAAAAATAAGACAAAATTTATGAATTTAAAATATATAAAAGAAGTAATTGAATTGGCATTTTTATCGTGCACTTATTTTTTATTTCTCTTATAAGTTTTGAAATATTTGTCTAAACTAAATGGTATATTTGGCAAATTTGTTCAAAATTCAACAATTAATAATATTTTCTAACATTATAAGACCCTACAGCAACTCGGTATACATTAAAATTAAGTTTAAAATTCGATTATGCGAAAACTTTTTTTCGCAATGCATTTTTTATTGTAATAATTTTTTGATGAGAATAAAATCTAAAACAATATAAATTTAAGGAGATAATTTGAAAATTATATCAAATAGACAATATAAAAATGATAATAAAATTAATGAATTAAATAATAAAAATTTAAAAAATTTAGGACAAATTTTATGAATTTAAAATATATAAAAGAAGTAATTGAATTGATATTTCATTTTATTGATATATAAAAGAAGTAATTGATATTGATATTATCTTGCAATTATTTTTTATATCTCTTGTAACTTCTGAAATATTTGTCTAAACCAAATGGTATATTTGGCAAATTTGTTCAAAATTCAACAATTAATAATATTTTCTAACATTATAAGACCCTACAGCAACTCGGTATACTTTAAAATAAAATATATAATTTAAAATACAAAATCAATTGGACCTATGAGCAATTTGAGGAACTAGTCAGACTAAAGAATTATTAAATAACTTGTAACTTCTAAATTACTTGTCTGATGATACAATATTTAGCAAATTTGTTCAAAATTAAATTATCAATAATATTTTCTAACATCATAACAA